TTCCTCCCTCTCACAAGTGCCAAAGGCACACCATCCCCTCACCCGTCCATGGGAAACTCCATCCATCGAGTGGCGTTTGGCCTCAGCTTGGCATATCCGCCGTATGAGGCAGCCGTGAAACATCTACGCCTTTGGGGGGATTTCCGAATCGGCCCCTGACGAACCCTCAAAGGGCTGTCTCTGATTTTCAAGGGCCTGGGTGAAATGGCGCCCTTTCGTCCCAAAGGGGCAGTCTAAAGGGTCCCGGGTCCCTGTCTATCTGCAAGGCTTTCTTTCTTTCAAGGGTCCCTGTTCATTTGACATAAAGCCACCCCCTTTTATTTCAATGGGCTCTCTCTCTCTTTTGGGGGGTCCAAACGACCTCAAGAGCTGGATCTTGGGAACCTCTGGAAGATACTTTGTGCCATGGTCAAACTCATACAACCAAAAGGGGGGACCCTCACAAAAGACACACCCAAATGTGGTTTCCTGCGATAGTCCGAAAATCATGGGCCCACAAAGTTTGGTGCCATCCTCTGTGTTTAGCCGGTTGCCTGCTGGCACAGCCCTCATGTGAGCACAAACTCGCTGAGGTTTGGTTCTAACATGGTTGTAAGTGGTTTATGTGGTTTTAAAGGGAACCAAACGGAAACCACAATTTTGGGGGGCCTTGCTGTGACCTGATGAAAACAGGTGCAATCACCTGGTAAGAATGATCCTTTTTTGGGGTTTCTGGTGCTGTGAGCATCTACAAGGGCTAGGCCGAACCAATCTATGGATGGGATTCCCCGCAGGTCGGACACGGACCGTCCTATGACATGGAAGCCTTGAGTGTACCTAACTCAGCTTCTCCCCCCCAAGTAAACATGTGTGTTTGTCTTAGTAAATCTGTAATTGCAAAATAGAGCAAACTAGAGTAGATATCGAACAACTCCCAGATATCAAGTAGGCATAATATCTATATACAGACATATGTCTCTATAACTCTCTGCATATGTAGAGACATGTATTCCTATAGCCATATATATATATATACACATACATGAAGTATCAAACACTATCAACAGACATCCCAGATTCATCACCGATACGGCCCGGGTACTGGGCGCCGCGCCCGGCTTGAGGGCTCGCAAAGCGATGCCAACGACGCCCCTGCGGTCACATTTGGGTCTGTCTGTTCAGGGAACCCTTGCGGCCATTTGGGCAAGTCATCCGAAATGAGGGCACCCTCTCTTGGATGTCAGTGTTGTGTTTTTCAGAGCACCCTTGGGGTTGTTTCAAAGGGAAACCAGAGGGAAAGCGCCAATTTTGAGGTTCTCCTAGTTGAGACAAGCCCATATTCGACGTGGGTCGAGGGCATGTCTGACTACATGCGCCTTTCTGAGTAGCCCCTTTCGCCTGTTCGAACCCAAGGTAATCGAAGGCTGTGACACATTGATGGCTTGGGGTCTAGGGGTCTGTGAGACAATCCTTGATTACTCAATTCTCCACGATACTATGCAATGCAACCTTTCTGCCTTGACATCCTAAATGGCGGACTCGGAAATGGTCGGCTTGCCCGAAAAACCTGGGCCCATATTGGTTTGCATTGGCGGTTTGGTGGTTAGCCGTGTGCTCCCCCCATTTACCCTCCGCAAGAAGGGGTTCAAATCCAAATCCAAACCACCAACTGAAGAGAACCTGTTATTTGGGACACACCCAAAGATCCATCTCCAACGAAGCCGATCACTCCACAACCTCGGGCCCCATGCTGGAGGTTGTGGATCCTCCCTAGAAGGGCAAGACCTGTGGCGTTTTTTGAGGGTACCCCCTTTTTGGTGGCTTGGGGGGGGGTACCTTTAGAAAGACACACCCACTTGCGGATTCTGAGGCCTGGCAATAAGCTAAATTTGCAAATTCAAATAACATCTGCGGCCTTGCAAAACCAAACAAGTGATTTCACCGCAAACTTGTCAACCAAACAAACCACATCCTGAACCCCCGATTCAACTTCCGCCCGCAAGACGTGATGTCATTTCCCATCATTGCCCCCGAATTCAGCATTTTGCATTCCTTGCGTCAACAAATGGATCCCTGCAAGTGCTATTAAATGGGTCGACCAAAGATGCACGGAATGAAAAGCGAGGGCTTCTGAACCGAGAACCACCAACTTGTTTGGTTGGGCTTGGTTCTTTTCTATGGGGACCCCTTTTGATTGGGTGTTAAAAGGAAACCAGAGGGAAAACCACTATTTCTTTCTAATTGGGGGGTTCCCCTGAAAAAAGACACCCATTTAGGTGTGAACTGAAATTGGTTGGTGGACATCATTTACATGGGGAGCTCTGTCCACTAGCCATTCAAGAGAGGTTCCCTATGGAAAAATCATAGCCATGACTACGCGTCTTGTTTAATCAACCTCCTTTGGCTTCCCCGCTGCCAAATCGATTCGGCCTTACATCGTTTGGGTATGTCAAAATAAGAAGTTGTGCCCCCCAGAACGGTGGTTTTTCATTTGGTTCTTTTTTAAGCCAGTACAAAGCTCCCCGCGACAAACTGCACACCCATTTGCTGCGCACCCGGGTGTAGCTTGCCCTTGGGATCCTCGGCCCACGGCCTCGTCGACTCGGTTCTCGCACATCTCTCCGTAGCCACCCTTGCAGCTCTCCGCTAGGCCTCCAGTTCGATGGATCAGGCTGACATGCGCCATGGTCGAAACTATGGCCTATGGCCGTGGGTTCTGTTAGGAATCATGTGATAAAGGACCTTAGCTAAGGATCCTTACTGCCAGGTGGATGACCATCCATGTTGACCCGGAGGAAAGGCAGACTCTTGACCATGGCACGAGTAGGGGGAGGATAATGAGGGAACCCTGTTTAACCACAGGAGCACTACCATTTTTGGGGGTTGTCAATGATGTCAATGATGTCCGCGAAGGTTCTGCCATTGAAATTTGCACACAAATGGGTGACCCAACTTGAGAAGCTGAGCTTTGGAGCGATTCTGGAGCGGTCCAAAAAAGCACTCCATTGTTCCTTCCTTCCAAAATCTGGGATTACAATGGTACACACTCTAAAGGGCAGGACTGTCCCTCAACCTTGAGGACTGCCCGGGTGTTGATTATGGCTACGCCATGGGTTTCTCTGTTGTTGAGGGTACTTCTGGGGTGTGTGTTCAAGGGATACTAGAGGGAATTCAACCATTTTGGGGGTGCCCCGACTTTGAGACAAGCCCAAATATAATCATTTCCCAAAAGAGGAAAACGTAGATCACGGTCGCAGCAATCGGCGTGCTTCGACGATTCGACGCTGGTAACGTGCCTGGTGAGCCCCAGCTCAGGAAACAAAGCCACCGCAGTTTTGTGGTTTTGAAGGGAAACCAACAGGAAAACCCACCATGTTGGGGGATCCCCTCAAAACGACAGCCCCATACAGGCAAATGGATTCACAGGGCAAAGCAAACAGAATTGAGCACTAAGAATATCCGACCGCTCATATGGCAGAAGCTGATTCAATCATTCCACCCAGGAAACAGTCTTGCAAGCCAAATTGAGGATAACCTTGGGTGCAAAGGAGTTCAAACGAATGGGTTCCTTCCGGATGCTACACACATGACTGTCCTTGGGTGCAAGCTGGAGGCTATTTATCGATTCCCGTTCAACAGGTCGTCTGATTACATTGTTGCTCTTTGTTTGCTAAGCACCATTGGGTCAACAGTTGCTGGGTGAAGAAGACATGAGCATGTTGATGAAATCAACAGGACGGTACAAGCGATAATCATAAACAAATTGAAGTTCACGGCTCCACAACAGGGGTCGAATGCTTTGTTCACTTCCGAAGCCGCAAAGCAGGCGTGAGGTTGTTGCAGCTGCACAACTACGTCTCGGTGCCCTGGGTTCGTCTTTTTGAGGAGAAGCTTCTTGAAACCGCCACGATGGAGGAACCAAACGCCAGCCCGAAGAAACAAGCAGACTTACTTTGGACAAACACAAACACCTCATCCTCAAAAAGGGCTACCCCTCAAACAAAAGATCAGTCCTTTTTCCAGGGAAGCCCTCAAAAGTGTGTGGGGTTTCCCATCGAAAGCCCTGACAACCTCGCCGTAAACCCACGATCCACTCCCCGGAATCCGAGCCAGGGGCAGAGTGCAAAGGCGGGTGTTCCTGATGCGCGAAGCTCGGATCGATCCGCTCACCCGAGCATATGAGCAGCGAAGCCGTTTCACCCCTCGTTACCTGGGTAGACCCAGGTGGACAAAGGCCTTCCGAACCCGAAAAAAATCCAGGCACCTGAAACGGCCGCCAAGGCTTTGGGCTGTTGGGCGCTGACAAGGCTTATAGCCGATTCTAACCCCTGGTCGCTTCAGGGTCAAACGGTTCAGAAAGCAGCAAAGGGTGCGGTTCGCCCTCATCCAAAAGTGGTCCTGTTGAGAAGCCCCACTCAAAACAAGGCTTCCTTTGAGCTTTCCATTTACCAGCCATCCCAGGGTCCAACCCATTTCGTGTTGACAAATCGCCATCTTTTCCCGGGGGAAATCTGGATGCCGGATCCACCTGTGAATTTCACTCTGAGTTCACCTGTTTGGCCATTTCATGCAATGAGGGTTCTTGGAAGGGGAGGCTTGATGTGTATTCTATCAGCTATGGGCATGGAAGCTTGTCCTACACAGCTCCCCCAGCTCGCCTCGGCTGTCACACTCCATGGGTTCCGGGCTGGAGGATCCGTCCTGTCGATGATGGCCAGCCGTGCTGCCGTCGAAAAATCCAAGGGATATGAACTGAAATGGGAAAATCCACAACATGGTGGTTTGTTAACTGTTGGCGTCCCTGTAAACCAAAGTGAGCGGCCCTCAAAAAACAAAGACACCTACGCACACAAATATGGATGGTCTTTAAGAAATTATCCTCACAGGACTAAGGTTTTGCTCATGAGATGTATCGGGATAAGCCCAACAGGAAGCATTGGTAAATTCACCAGGGGACTGGATTTGGCTCTCTCTCTCTCTCTCTCTATTCAGAATTCCTAAGTCATTGGCAAGCACTGGCTTCAGCTCGTGAAATCTGTGGGGGATGGACGTGTCTCTCCCTTGAAAACCGCCAGCCGCCAGCCCGGCGAAATGAAGCCAATGGCTTCCCACCCCAAAGCCTGGAATCCACTGGCTGGCGCCTCCCTGGCGCCCGCTCCGCTCCCTCGCGCCTCCGCATCCGGGAAGTAGGGCGTATGTAGATTCACCGGCAGCGTGCGGTGGGCGCCCCCAAAATTCGCCTCTGCACCGTCCACCCAACGGTGGGCCGAAGGTTCGGACCGCATAGTAGACCGATTCCCACGTCGCAAAACGAGGCGATTTATTGTGGGGGGGGGAGGGAATCGGGAGAAGCCACAATAAGCAAGGGATTCAAAGAATACCAGCACTAAGTCGTGTCAGTCATGTACTTCTAACAAAACAAACGCAAGCAAAAGACGAACGTGTGACACCACCTAAGAGGGAATCATCAATGTGGCCTTTCCAGAAGGTGTCGTTTAAGACCGCCTTAACTTGCTGCAAGTTGACGTGAAGCCCGACAAGGATGTGACTCAAAGTGGGATTTCTCTTTGAGCTTTTGGTTTCCATGCTAACCCAGACCCCCAGAAGGATGGGAAAAAGGGGGCAGCCGGAAGCCCAGAGAAATCCTGCCCCCCCCCCACCCGGAGGGTTCGATCCGAACCCTTCTCGGTCAGACCCCTTCGAGCCCCTTCGAAACTATTCTCAGATTTGGGGGGCTTGGTTTCGAAACCAGATTCCGTTTCCTTTCGGTAGCACCTTGGGGTCAGGTTCCAAAACCCCAAAGCAACACCAACCAAGTCAAGTGAACTCGACCTTCAACAAGTGGTCCCGCAAGTAGAGCTCGCAGGTCACGCGTTTTCCATGTAGCAGCGTCGCTGTGCGACGATTCGGCTTAAGGGGTCCCTAGGTGGGCCAGGGCCAAAATGGCGATCGTAGCCTCTCCATGAAACATGCTATACACGGCTGAGGCTTACACACTGACATGCCCCAAAGATCTCAGGCGAAGCTTGCCATTTTCTGGCCGCTCCGGAGAAACTCCGTCCAACTCACGTCGGGGCTCACGTCAGGTTCCTCTTGGGGTGCCACACCAGGGGACTTCTTATTCTTCTTCTTGGCGGCGATGAAGTCTGGGTCGTACTTCACCGTCCACAGCTGCTTGCGCTCGAGGAACCGTCTCAATCCCTCCTGAGCCTGGGACTTTGTCAACCCATCCGCAAGCTGGGCCTCCGATGAAACCCACAGCAAGGAAGTGTTCTGGCGTCTGAGGTTCTCTGCCGTCGCCATGAGCTCAAGCGCCGCATACTTCTCCTTCATGGAGTACCCTGCTGAAGCTGTGTCCTCCTTCCAGAAGGCGTCATAGACGGACTTCGCGTCGATGACCAGAGCCGCGTCCACTTTGATTGTCGCGTCCTCCGGCCGGTGCAAGTCCAGCTGGTAGCCTAGCAGTTCTGCCCAAAGCGCCCGGCAGAACATCAGCTCCTGCTCGCCTTCCGCCAGAGATTGAATCTCCGCCGACAAGCTGCTCTTCGCCACCCGATGCAACTTGCCACACTTCCAGGAAACCGGGTTTAGGGGCACCCGCTTTCCATCCAGAATTGACCGATGTGCAAGGCCGACAAGGTGTCCTCCAGTTGAACCGAGGTCAGGTCGATTCCCGACTGCTGCATCCGTCCACGTCAGCATGATGAGCTCCTCATCCGCCTCTGCTCCGAGTTGTTCAACCCCGATGCTGAGGCTTCGTTGTTGATATACTTCACGACATAGTTTGTTGATCTCCTTCACAACGTCCAAGTTGCCCTTAGGCAAGGCACTCTGCAGCCAAGACTGCATGCTGTAAGCCCGTCTGCTGGACTCTCCATTGCACCGCACCAAGCACAGCCCGGCACTGGCTCATGATGGAGTTGTTCATCTCCTTGTCGTTGGGGCCGAGCTCAACCTGCTTGAGCTCCTCGCAGTACTGCGTGTGGTCCAGGATGAAGCCAGTCGTTCTTCTGCATGAGGTTAATGCCGCAGTGCGCGAAGGGCATCGCCTCCCAAGGCGGCCAAGCGAAGGACTTGAAGAGGATGTCCAGTGCCGCAGTCCACTTTGCATTGGTCTCGTCGCCGGTGATCAGAAAATCATCGACGTGAGCGCCGATCGCACCAACCACCTTCCCGTTGTCCTTAAAGATCCACAGGCAGGGGTCACATTGCAAGCGGGTCAGGCCGGCCTTCTCCTGCATGACATCACACACATCCAAGAACCATTCTCTTGGAGCCGAAGCAAGTCCGTAGGCAGCCTTGAGCAGGCGAACCGCCTGTCCCCGTGGCAATCCCATAGCTTCTGAAAGCTCTTCCACCGGAACGGCGAAGATGTTCCTCTTGGCCTGATTGGAGCTGCCCTGCAAGAAGGCGGACTTCGCGTCAGCCTTGAGGCAATCCCACCGCTTGTGCGTGGCCAAGTTCAAAAGCAACATTTTGCCCCGCCTCGAAAGAGTGGGGGCGGCAGTCACGAGCTCTGTGAGGTCGGGGTCGCTGTAACCCAAGAGCACGATCCGGGCCTTTGCCTTCACATAGTCGGCGCTGTCCCCGGCCTTGAAGGTCAGCACCCAACGCATCCGCATCAGGCGATTGGCCGGGATCTGCACATCCGCCTTGGCACAAACCTTGCGAATGATCCACTGGTCGACCTCGAGCTGCTTGGCTTCTTTCATAGCTCTTCTCTGCTCCTCCGACAACCTGCGCCATTCCACCTCCGCGCCCTTCTGGACGTTCTTGGCCGCGAACTTGGCTGGGTTCTTTACGATCTTCTTCCACTCCATCTCATTCGCGGGGGTCGGGATGGTGATGCCGAAGATGCCGTTCTCTGCCTCTTCCTCAGCGACGTACTGGACAGGACTCGAAGAGGAAGCTGCAGGCAGGCTCTTCCTCACATGAAGGGGAATCTCCTCTCCTTCATGGCTCATTCTCTTCTTCCGGAACTTCTCCCGTTCCTCCGGCGTATATCGTTCTAGCGGGTTGTAGTTCAGGTCGGAGAGCAGCCGATCGATGTCGATCTCGTCCTCGGGTGACGCCGGAGTTTCCGACAGCTGGCGCTTGCGACTCTCCGGATCCTCGATGAGCTCGTCATCTTCCTGTGGGTTCCATTCGAAGTCGGCTCCGGCTCCTCCCTCGCAGCTCAGATCTCTGCTTTGGCCCAAGTTTCAAGGATCCTTGGGTGAGGTCGTCAAACTCGCCCTTGTTGAGCTGGCTAACGAGCTGCGTGAAAGTCCACGGCATGCCAGCAACATCTGTGTTCTCCGCAATGAGGCGCTCGGTCTCTGATGCGTGTCGAAGCTGATTGCGGTGAACCTTCTTCAGTCTTCCCTGGGAGATGATCCAGATGGAGCTGCTCGCTGACCGATAAATTCCCTCTTCTCTCACGCGAGTTTCGGCCGCCGGCACCCGTCCAGGTCCAAACCATCGGCCAACACGCAGTCGAGGCACATCTACTTCATCATGCGCTGGTCGATCACGAGGGGTCTTGAACCGCTTGTAGTAGACGAGGTCTCCCGGCAAAAACTGATTCAGCGGGGCTGCTCGCGAGTTGGTTGCCCGGCTCAACTTGGCCAGGTCTTGCTGCTTCTTGTACTGGGCTTCAGCTTCTCGGCGAAGGCGTAGTTGCACTTCCAGGGGATGACCAGGCAACTGCACATGCGAGGCTGAAGCTGGGTTGAGGTCCTCCTCCGGAAAACGGCCAAATGCCCACTGAGCTGGAGCATATCCTCCAACACGTGCTTGAGTGTTATGTGCACCGACCATCGCCCAAGCTGCTTCACGGACAGAACAGTCTCGGGCTTCCCGAAGAAAAACTTCAACCCGATGCCGAACTTCTCCAACTGCTCGTTCAACATCACCCGTCGAAGCATGGTACTCGGCCGGAACATGGGCAAGCTCTATCCCTCGCTCTGCACAGAAACGTTCCAAGTCTCTGCCTCTGAAACAACCTTCAAGGTCCAACCGGATCCGCTTGGGCATGCCAAAGTACTGGATCCAGCTCTTCTGACTCCAACATCTCTGGCGTCGCCACGTTCTCGTGCTGGTCATCTGGGTGGGTCACGATCTCGTCGGTCACCACGTAGCCCGAAGCCTCGTCAAGGTAGAGAAGGAAGTGGTGCACCTCTGTGCCGATCCGCATGTAGAAGGTGTCAATCTGCACGGTGTGCCACAGGGTGTCTGCCTTCTCCAAGGAAACCTGGGTCATAGGCGTTGCCATGCGACCTTCCTGGCATTCCGGGCAGTTCAGCTGGTGAGCCACTGCTTGCATCTGCTCTGACGCTCCTCTGGATCTCAAGGCCCTGATGAGCGCCCTATTGCTCGGGTGTCCACATTGCCGGTGGAGCTTCAGGACCGTCTCCGCCAGCTTGTTGATCTCCTGGGAGGTGAGCCCGCCGAGGGCATTTGCCTGGGGCTCTGTCGAGACGTAGGCCGCTGCATTTCGCTGCATCATCGCCTTGGCTGCCGCCCTGCAAAAGGAGGGAGTGTATCTCCCAGTCCTTTCCGGAAGTCCTCCTCCCAGACACGGCGCATGTTCATGGTCTCCAGGGCACAGACGATGTAGGCTCTTCAAGTGCGTCTCATCTGTGACCCGAATCCTCCACGGCTTCTTGATGGGCCAGCCTTTGTCCATGAGGCCAAACTGGCACCCGTCCACAAGCACATCATGGCATCGGTCTTGAACTCTCAGCTCAGACCAGAACTTCTCGATGATGTCCCATTTCCAGGCGTAGTTCGCGCGAGGCCACTCTTGAGCAACTTCACCACCAAGTTCGAGCTGGTATCGCGCCACGATCAGCGCTCTCTTCACCATAGCCTTCGACTTCTTGCGGCGAAGATCCCCTTTTCTCTTGCCCTCCTCGGTGATCTCGTTGAGGTTCTGGATGGGAGAGCTTGGCCCGCAGGGAAGACTTATCCAGAGCCACCGGGGACGATGCTGCTTGAGCATGTTGAGCACGTTCTGGAGGCCCTCATTCTTCATGAGGTCGCAGTTGTTGAACAACCCGGCTCGACCTCCACGACCACCAGCCCGTTGTACTTCTTGAAGGAGTATGCTCTCCGGTCCACAGCAGAGCTCCAGCACGTCCCACGGTTCCGGTACGCCACCACAAACTTGAAAAGCCTCCTCGATGCGGTCCTGGGTATCCTTGACATTCTCCAGGAGATACATCAGGTCCTCATCGGCCAACGGGAACTTCTCCACCGGCTGGTAGACACCGAGGTTGTCATACTCCAGGGTGTCCTCACCCTTCACGATGGCGAAGTCACCGTCCATGAGCTTTCCGTTCGGGCGTCGTACTCCTGGTCTTCTGCCGAAACCTCGTTCTTTCTCATCTTCCTGCCTGGGGTCGTCTTGAGCTCCTCCGCATCGCTGGGCTGAGAAACACCCTCTTCCTTGATGTTCTCCTCGTGGTAGCCCTGCTTTGCGAGCGCCTTCGCCTTCTGAGCCTTGATCACCTCCAGGCGCTTCATCAAGCTTCTTTCCGCTCCCTCGAGACAGATCGCCTGGTTCTTGAGAAGAGGGTTGTGTGCCGCCTTGTTCCCAAGGGACTCCACCACCTCCTTTGTGTCGCTCGGCAACGGTCCGGCCTGGCGGGTCATGGCAGGGGCTCCGTAGGCTGGGGGTTAGCTCAGCCTGAGTCTGCATACCGCACACACCGTCCAAATGGCATGGGCGTTGGATCCCGAAACCGAACCCCGGCCGGGGCGTGCTTCCTGATGGTTGCCGTTGCATGGTGGCCCGGTCAGGCGAGGATCTTGAGGGTCTGGTCCCACTTGTCGTCCGTAGTCGAACTTCTCCCCCAGGGGACCAGTCGTTGGTTTGGTCTTGACCTGGGCCTTCGCTGCTCCCTTGCTCGCCGGGACGATCTCGGGTGTCTTGCCTCCCGTCAGCGGGGTCTTGGAGCCGAGCAGCCGGAGGCATAGAATGATCATCAATCACAAACACACACTCCTGTCTGTGATCACGGGCCAGTGACTTTGACGAAAAACTGGCCATGCCACTGCTTTCCGGCACACTCATGGAATCCCACCCCCGTCCCGGAAGATGCACCATGTATGCTCCGTCAACGGGAGTGCTCCAGTTGAGAACGTCAGAGGTCTCTGTGCTTGACGCAAAACTCACTGCCGATGTGGCAGCTCGTGGACAGGTGTCCGGGTGCCGGCTTTTGGAAGTTGCCTGTGGTGAGCCAGTCCTCCTGCAGATTGATCAGGAGGTGGCCGCATCTGCTTTTCACCAACGGGATGGCTCCACCGCCTGCATGATGATAACTCCTTTGAAGACGTCTATGATGGCTTGCAACTTCCCGAGGGTCTTGATGCCGATCAGCACGGGGACGCCCGGCGCATCCAGGGTGTAGATGCCAAGAGATAGGCGCCGGTCTCCAAGGTTCTGGGGTAGCAGGAGATAGCTCTCGCTCTTCTGGATGGCCCCGTTGCCGAACTTGGAGGACTTCAACGGGGCGGGGACAACCTTGATCTCCTCCTTGACTCCCAGAACATGCCTACGGCCAAGAACAATGCGCTCCAGAGCCGTCAGGGAACCAACCGTCTCCGTGGCGCCGGTATCCAGCACTCCATATCCTTCCGACTCCGGGCTCTCCACCACCGCGATCATGATGGGGTCCGGAATCTTCTCCTGGTACAGGATGTCCCCGGCGTCCAAGGTCGTCTGATCTCCACTTCCAGGAAGACCATCATCTCGGTGAACTGAGCGAGTGCCACTCTGGGGGTCCACAAGGATGTAGGGATGCTCCGGGAACCTGGGGCTTGGAAAACCTCTGCAGGGTCTAGGATGATCTCCGATTTCGTCATGCCGTTCAGGTCCGGGTTGAACCTGACGTCTCCATCACCTCCCTCCTCCAACTCGATCTGCTCCTCTTGCAGCATGAAGATACCCAGGTGGCTTTCCACGAAGTAGCTCCCAGATGACTTCCCCCCTTTGCCTTTTCCTCTCTTGGGGCAGTGACGAAAGTCATGCTGTTGGGAACCACAAATGAAGCACCCGGTGTAACCCGGCTGACCCGGTTGCTGGACCGCAAGGACAGATCCAGCAGGAACGGAAGGGGTGGTTTCCATTGACAAAACCGAGGGTTGCCCCTTTCCTTTCTTTCCTTTGAACTTTCCTTTTCCACCTCCCTTTGAGGCTCTCCGAGCCTCCTGAAAGGTCCGGGCCTTTTGCTCGTAGGCCGCGTAAGCTTCCTGAACCTCCTTCAACTTGCTCGGGAGCCACCATCAACGAAGTCTGCTGCTGCGTCTCCCAGTCGGACCATGCCCAGTAGGTACCAGAGATGTCCTGGTGGTAGTACTCACCGTCCCCGCCAGAGTCCCACCAGGAGTAGCCACCGTCTTCCTCTTGGTTCCAGAAGCCGTCTTCCATCACGCTCTCCAGGTTGTGCTCTTGCGTCTTGGTGGGGTAGTCCTGCATGGGGTTCTTGTTCACCCAGTGGACCTGGTTCAGGTCGACGAACTCCTCGACCTCCATCTCCGTGCCCATGAAGATGCCCCACTCTCCATCTTCCTCAACCCAGAAAGAGCGCCCTTTTCCACCACCTTTTCCTTTACGGCCTCCGGATTGATCAGGATGGGTGAGCTCCTCCTCCACCGCTCTCAGACCACGCTCAACATCGGCGCTGTGCAGGCTGTTGTGGATGGAAGCCAGCACATTCAGACGTTGTGCCGATGTCAGTGCAGCCCTCCTCAGCATGATCCATCCCACAAGCTCATCGGGTAATGCAGGAGGTAGAGCGGTGTCCAAGGATTCCCAAACTTCTTGTTCATCTGATGCCGAAGAGGATGATGAGGATCTTCCTCTCCGGCGGTCTTTACCTTTTCCTTTGCTCCGTCCTTTTCCACGTCCTCGACCACGACCGCTTCCACCGCGGCTCAGGTCTGATCGAGGACCGCTTTCTTCATCAGGCTCATCTTCTCCATCTCCAAAGGCTTCTCGTGGATCGAGAGGCCAACCATCCCAGCCGTCCTCCCCGATCTCGCCCGTCTGATAGGGCTCCTCCTCGGTCCTTGCACGCGACCTCCTCGTTGTCGGCGATGAACTTGGCGATTGTTCAGCACGAGGAAGGTCCGGTTGTGCTCCAGGGGTCTTTGCTTCTTTGCTTAGCTGGGTGTGTTCTTGTCGAGCTCGCTGTAGTGCTCGCTGAAGACGGCGATGAGCTTCTCGCACATGCTGGCACCAAGAAGCCATTGACATCGTCGGGGGCCGTCTCAACCTCAGCAACAGCTCCTCTGCTCGAACACCGGCATCAGGAACGGGAGTCTTGGCGAGGCGATTCTCCAAGTAGTCCAGGAGATACTTCGCACCGTCGTGCTGGCTCAAACGTTTGTGGTCAATCTCCTGGGTGACAAGCCATGCTCTCCCGGAAAGTTGCGAAACCAACTCCGGTCCCAGGTAGCGCCTGCGCCTCCTTCTCGTCCGTTCCCAAGCCAGCTTCGGCGAGGACTCCTGGGATCCCGTGATCTCCGGCTGAAGGCAACCTGCTCTGAGACCTTCGGCTCCTCCACGAACAGGTTCCACCTCCAGCTCACCTTGGCGGTCAAAGCTTCCGGCAGGATGCCTCTCAGCTTTGCCGCCCGCCTGCTCTGTGGCAAGCTCCGCTACCAATTTCGGTAGCACCTTGGGGTCAGGTTCCAAAACCCCAAAGCAACACCAACCAAGTCAAGTGAACTCGACCTTCAACAAGTGGTCCCGCAAGTAGAGCTCGCAGGTCACGCGTTTTCCATGTAGCAGCGTCGCTGTGCGACGATTCGGCTTAAGGGGTCCCTAGGTGGGCCAGGGCCAAAATGGCGATCGTAGCCTCTCCATGAAACATGCTATACATGGCTGAGGCTTACACACTGACATTTCCCTAAGCAAGCAAGGAACTTACCCTTTTAAACCAAGGAACATAGAGGGTTACCTGGGATGTTTTAGGGGACCCTCCAAAAACATGGCTCTCCCGCCTGCTTTCCCTTTAACCTGAAAACGGGTTCCCCTCAAAACAGACGCCCGCTCGTTTTCGACTCGGAGCCCTGGGGCCGCAGCCGCCGACGCAAACTTCTGGATCCTCACCGAGGTGAAGTCCTTCGGCAAAACTGTTGGGCGTTGATCTTCCAGGTGCCCCCTCACAGGTGTTCGTCCGTGGAAGGAAGGATACCCTTTTTGGGTGTTGAAGAGAAGCCAAAGGAAAGTTGACGTTACCCTTGAGCCAAATGGAAGCCATGGGAAGCCGAAGATGTGCCAATTACTCTTCTTCCCACCCTGAAAAGGGCTTCAATTCTTTTTAACCGGGAACCCTTTGCAAATTGGTGGACAGCATTTGTCCACCAACCACTTGTGAGATGATTCCCTATCAAAATGTAGGTCAAATAGGAACCCTGAGCCCCTGGCGGAATGGGCGATATTGCTTGGCCCAAAGGAGAACCAACGACCTCTTGAAACCAGCCTTTTCTGTCGGGACACCACAAACTATAGCGACCAAAAAAGCCGTCACATCCCGCTCCCTCCTTGTTTTCTGACGACAAGTCTTCGTAGGTTTGAGACTTTTGACTTAAGGTACAGAACGAAAAGGACTTTGATTAGGGGGATGGCATGAAATGTAAATCACTGTTGGTTTCTTTGCCACCCTGGATTGGAGAAATTCGGTCCCAGCCAAAGGAATGATGCCCAATTCTCTTCACCAAGTCTTTTCTTTAGAAACCAACCATTTTTCAGGGTTAGCCCACTTTTCGAAGGATACCTGAAGAGAATGGGCACGGCTAGAAACAGGGGTGACAAAACAATGTGTTCCTTGTGGTTTCCCTTTAAACTTGAAAAGGGAGGAACAAACAACGCCAACCCGAGTCCCGAGTCTCAACTCAAGCCAAGAGGCCGTGTTAGGCACCTCCAGTTTGAAAAGGTTGCAGAGCAGCCTGGCATGGAGCTAAACCTTGGGGCTTTGCTGCCTGGATCGAAGCCCGAAGCGGGTGTGTGGTATATCCTAAACTTACGTGCTTTCTCAACCAGAAGATTGGGTGCCCCTTGATTTGTGGGCACTTTGAACGGTCCGTGTTTTTCAAACAGTGCACTGTGAATATTGCCAGTGACTCACAGGTGCCAACGCCACACCCTCATTGCGGGTACTCATGGCTCGCGTACCAGCATCACTTATATTTGTCTACATCCTGGCAAATGATCCATGATCAGCCCTACCTTTTCTAAGAGCCCAAGAAACCTCCAATGCAACTTTAGCTATCGGAACATTGAGATTCCTGTTTGTGGTTGACAATTCAGCCCGTCCTTCCATGTCACTCCCATTTTTGCCATAACCTATGAGCGTGCCTGCGTAGGTGAGAAGACATCAACAGGCAGAAATGGATGCGATGTTCAGTCTTTTGAAATGGATTCCTCTCCTCGGCTATGGATCAGGCATAAATTTGGACACCAAACAGCGTGGCCCCTAAAATCATCAGAAAAGGGCCAGGGCTTCCGGAAAAGGGCAACCTCAGGAAAACTAACCCTTGTGGTTTCGTCATCTTTCAAGAGGCTCAGAGCAACCCTGCCAAAGCTGTACTACCGTTTCATACCGTTCTGTTATTTTGTCAACCCACTTGCGCGGATTGTTTGACCGCCACACTCGTGACGAAGCCTTGGCAGTTGCACCGGAATGCCATAGTGCCTGGCATGTGACGGCGCGCTGAGACAGCGACTACGATCTGACTGAAATGATGCCCCGTTGCCAGTCTAAATGTTCCTTTGGGGTTCAAAAAGGGGAGTTTACTTGGTTACCTATTGTACAGGGAAATAGCTTCACTGGGATGTGCGGGTGGCAGGTGTCCTTTTGGCTTCCCTTGAAACCATCTCGAAAGGGTCTGTGCGGTTGGTTTCCCTTACCATCCAAAGCCTTCAAACATTTTGCGACGTACCCAGATCGAGGTCGCACGTCGGTGCTAAAGGCAAAGCACGAAAAGAGAAAGAAAAACGTCCGAGACATACCACGCCTCAACAAGCTCCCAATGCGGCAATCCCCACAGCCTTGTAAACAGTCGCTCATTCCCGTTGCAAGGTGAGATTTCCATCAAGAGCCCGGGTGTTGCAAGGAAACTATGACAGGAGCCACGGCCTCGGGGAACTGCTACAACTTACCCCCCAACTGTTGAGGCCATCTTTGAACAGACGAGCTATCTTAATCCATCCTTGGAAACACCACCACAAACGGGACCAACGCCTTTCACTTGGGTGTCTTTCTTTTGAGGTTATCCTTTTGTTGGTGGTTTTAAAGGAAACCCAAGTGGACAATTTTGGGCGGAATGAGATTATCGAACTGCTGCCTCAGCCTTGGTTTCGCCTTGGATCCAGGCCCGGGCCTTTCGGCAGTGGTGTCAAGGCTGTAGTGAGACCTAGCCAAGAGACCCAAACCCTCGGGGCCGGGGGGGGGGGGAGTGCGGCTGTTGGGTCCCCAGGGCGTTTGCTAAATGTTGAGAAACGGAACCCCACAAAGGGCACCCGAAAAATGGGCGAGGACGCCTTCAAGGGCATAAGCTCGGAGTCTTTGATTTCGCAAACAAACTCAAAAATGCGAGATGCTAGCGCATAGGCTCACATCTCGCGCGGCAGCCAAAAAACGGAATCAAGTTGTGCCCCTCTTTTCCCCGAGGCAAGTGTGGACATTGTGCAACCCCAAAAATGAATTAATGATCCCATTCGGCTATGTGACAAAATTCGGGGATCCCCGAAAGGGTGATTCTCCTTGTGCTCAAAAAAACTGACCCGTTAAAAGAGAGCTGGAAAGCACTGCCTCAGGAGAAGTGCTCTCAACAAATTGCATTTGTGCCTGTCAGCACCGGTCTGCCTTGTGATCGTGGCTGCCTTCAATATGCTTAAAACCGCATGCTCCACAATCAATCGACGCTGTTCACCCAACGTGCTGCTTCTCTTGCCGGCCTGCTACGTCACTTTACTGGGCCAAACGTTATATGATTTTGTGCAGTGAGTTGCTTTGGCCGCTGCTTGAAAGGACAAATGATGCTAATGGCCAAATCTGAAAAACCATCGCTTCCCTTTCGACCAACCCAAGTGGATCCGTCCCTTCCAACAAGTCGCGGGAGCCGGATTTTGTGCCGAGGCAGCGGCCCATTCAGACCCAGGACGTACGCGGCGTGCACGAAGGGAAACCTGCGAGCGAGCGAGCGTCCGAAGCTTGGAGCAGAGGGAAGCCTGATTTGGGTGACCTGTTCCATGGGTTCATTGTGCAGCCGGAACCGCTTATTGGAACCCGCTAAATGGGTCTTCTGACTAATGCAAGGGCCTGGTTGCAATGAGGTCGTGGGGTACTCTTTGACCAAGTGCCTGACGTTGTTGTTCTTTCCCCATAAAGCAAGGGCACCCTCCTTTTGCCACTTGGTTTGAAAGGTCCTAATGCTATAATGTGGGACCTACATGGGGTTGTGGGGTACTTTGAAAACAAACTCCCTCATGGTGATTGGAGCACAACTTTTGTACTTGGCCCAGCGCCGCTTATTACATTTTCCCAGTTTCCTAAAAACGTCCCTTTTCTGGGTGATCAAACCGAAAAAGGAAGAGGGTGCCACTGGATTGGGGTTCAAAAAGCCCAGGTCCAAGCATCTTCCAAGAAGCATCCTTCCAATCACGGACGTGCACAGAATGGACTAGGCTACCACCCTCTTAAAAAGGCCTCTTGTGACATTCCGTTGCTGGTGTCGGCAGAGGGATTGGCCTCACAAGCGGCACCTGGTGCCAAAGAACGGATGCGGATCCCCTTTGAAATCTCTAGGCTTTCTAGTTCTCTTCAATGGGCTCGTGCGATATGGCAAGACCCACATCGGTGTCCCTTTGATCCGCCACTAAAAACAACCCAACGAACTGGGGAAATCGGTCTCCGGTTCGCGGAACTGGCTTGCGACTTGAGGTCCCCCGAGAATCCTGGGGCGGCCCAAACAGCGGGGAGGCCCTCTGGTTTCCCTTGCGAAAAGCCGCGGGCTTCCCTTTCAACCGCCATGCGGGTGCGTCTTTTTTAGGGAACCCCCCCAAAATGGCATTGGTTTTCCTTGTGGTTTGCTTTTAAAGCCACACAAAACGAAAAAGAAAGCCACTCACGTGGCAGTTTTCTCTCAGAGCTCCCCCACTTTGTGGACGCCAAAAGCTCCAGCACCGCCGAGCGCAGCTCTGCCACCTCAAGAGATCAGGCATATGGCTGCGGGTCAAAACCAATGGTACCATTTTGGGGTAGGTGCACCACCCATTTTAGTCTATTTTAGCGGGGATTGGGATGTTCACTGGGGGTACAGGCTTTTGACCCATGGCCATATCGGATACTTGCGATAGTAGGCAAAATTGAGAAATGGAAATGACGCCGATAAAACAAATCCATCCCCTTCGGTTTCCTTCAAGGGAATCCCCTTCCAGTTCATTCCCAAACCCGGAAGGTCATTCCCTACTGAGCACCAGCAAGTATCGTGATACGCTTGAGATGAATACATTGGGCCCTTTCTTCCCGGGTTTGGATTATGACACCTGGCCGAATGATTGCATTGGTTTTGAGCTGGGCTCCCTTTGGTTTTCTCCTTTCGGCTGGCCAACAAGGTCTGTCCAACAGGAAAACGGAAACAACTCTCCCTTTTGAAGGTGCCAGCCTTCTTTTAAAGGGGAGCCATTTTGCGAAATGTGTTGTTTTGTTTGGTCCGGTTCATCTTGCACTGGGCTTAGGGTCGTTTGGGGTGGGCTTTAGCGCGCCTGGCTGGTTGGCTTTCATTCCAGGGGACTGGACGAACATCCCAATCCAGTGAAGAACGAGATCCTTCAAACGAATTAGCCACCTTTTAGAGGGAGGTTGATTCTTAGGTGGTTTCCCTTTGAAGCTTGTTTCGGTTTGCTTCCAACCCCGATATGCCAAATGACTCACGTGGATCCATTTTCTTGCGATGGAGTATACCTGGGATCCACTTGGCCAGCCATCTTCTAAGGTGAACAAGGGTACCCTTTAAACACACACACACACACACACACACACACGCACGCACGCACGCACGCACGCACGCACGCACTCACACCAAAACCACAAAGAACACAAGCCAACAATCCCACCCCTTCGCTCCGGCGCGGTCTCGCTTTTCGCTTTCCTCTCCGCGGTCTCCGTTTCCCACTCACTCGCCGAAGAAGGTGTCGTGGAGCCGCTGCGAGGCTTTCAGCAGGTGCTCACCCTGGATCACGAAGGTGACCTCACGAAGGTGTGCCCTGGGCCTCCCGATGTTTACCATGATAACCATCACCCCGCAAACCGCTATGGGCCCAAAAGGTGCAGCAAAAAGACGGCCACAAAAAGACGGCCCTGTTTGGGCGAGGCGGCTTGCAGTGTGTGTCCTTTCCTTGGTCTTATTTGGCTTCGATGTGTTGGCTTCGTTTTGTTGGTGTCCTGTTGACACCGCTTCGTCAGAGAAAGGACATCTCCATGAGAACTTTGATACCGGACAGCAGCCATGTCTTTAAACGGTTTGTGGACACACACACACACACATGCTTGATTCGTCTGCTATGGTGGTCTATGATGCTATGGTCTGCTTCTTTTCAGCGATAGCCTCTTGGGATATCTCCCTATTCCAACACAAACCCACATCGGAACTTTGAGGAACTGTTCCAAACGTTGGTCCGAGGTACTCCAAGGGCAACCCGGCCTGCTCCAACTGATCCAAAAATCGAACAGACGTGCCAACAAAACTGAAAAGGTTATCCTGATCATGCAGTTGGACTCTTCATCACCAAATCAGCCAATTTCGGGCGAACTGAAGCAAAGTGGCGTTGACGTTGGACGCTCCGTGCGAGACCATCTCCACCTCGGCGGGATTCCATCGCCTGTGAGGTCTTGGCAAGTGGAATCACATGGCATCGTTTGTACGTTTTGAGAGTACCCCGTCGGGTGAATTTCGAAAGGGAGACCACTAAACAACTTGGAGCAGTCTTGGGGGGCGCCCTATGGTTGGATTTCTGTGGGTTCCTTTCAAAGCTCATGGCAAAATCTAGAAAAAGCCATGGCCCAAAGCTCCGCCAGTTGGGAAATCATGGTTCGCCTGGACGTATCTAGGCCAGGTTGCATTGATGCCCATGTCCTGCGCTTGCAGCACCACAGGCAAATGGCGAAAATCCCATGCGCGATGCTGTCGATTCGCAAAGAAACAAACAAAACAATGGATTGCTGGAGCCGGCGATGCTTGGAACTTGAAGATTCTGGCATGCTTACCCTGCCATGTTGAACAGTGAGCGTGGTGCTGGATGCTTCATTCTTTCATGTGAGTCATCTGGCTTTTTTGTTTTCGAGAACGGTACACACCGTCACAAACGCAGTCAGAAAAAAAAAAAAAAAAAACACGATCACTTGCTTTTGTCAACATCACAATAAAGGTCGGCTGTATGCTGAAGCCGCGCAATAGGGGGCAGTGCGTAGTCTTTGCGGTTGTGATCAAAGGATTCTGCAAACCTTTCTTGTCTCTTCACTGAACAAAAGCGCTTTCTACCATGGACCTTGTTTGCAACCTAACAGGTAGCAAGGGTTGCCAAATGATGTGGTGTTTGAAGTCGCTCACCTCTCTGCTTTGCTTCGATGTCTCGAAAGCTTCAACTAGGGGGCCTCACCAAGATGAGGGTCAGTTTGGCCTTTGAGGTAAGACTCGGGCCAGGACACCGCCCATGTGCCATCGCCTCGCCCGATCGCACGAGGCCTCGAAGACGGCGAAGGAGGCGCGCAAGATCCCCACCGAGTCGGATTTGGGCGCGATGAGGGTCAGCATCGCCATGTCATGGAGCACCGATACCTGCGATCGGAAGCTCGCCTGGTCTCATGGTTTCCTTCACCCGATGGTTGCGGGTAAGCCCCGAATGAGTTGACATCCACCCCCTAGGAAAAGGGTCTTATGACCATTGCCATCGACTTGTGGTTCTAATATGGTTCTGCAGGTCGACACAAGCGTTACTGAACTCCTATGAATCCAGGTAGGTAGAACTACGTACTCAGATGCCCCTTTGCATTCCGTTTTGGGCGCTCACCTGGACCATACCCCAAGTAAAACCCAAACGGGTAAGTAGCAGGTGCGGTGGGGTAAATGAATCTGAAATCTTTGATTTGTGCAACGAGCTTCGTACCTTCTCAAAAGCCTTTGCTACCTCCAAAAGATACACTTTTGCAGACTCCTGCAGGTTCACGTGGAACCTAAACAACCACAATTGTTCGAGGAATCTCCTCTTGGGGAACCCCTTTTTAGGCTACATTCTGATTTGCAAAGGAGTATGTCACTGGTCACTGTCGGACTCGCGTTAAGAGGCATCCTTTTGCAATGAAGCCTTTGGCTCGAGTTTGGATTCCGTACCTCCAACAGAAAATGTCAGAATCACATGTAGAACCCCCCCCCCTTTTTCCAGCCAGGGACAATATGGACATGGGATTTGGTGTTCCCCAGGTTGTGGCCTGGTCCTCCAGTCCTTCCAGTCCTTATGGCCTCTAAGTAGTTTGGATTGGTGGTTTCGTGGGTAGGGCAGTTCCCCATTTAGCCTCTACAAGGACCAGGGTTCAAATCCCCACCAATCCAAACCACCAAATAGGGGATACCTGATAATCGTGGGAGCAAACATTTGTGAGAAACAAAAAACAACACAAACAGCTTCGGGCTTCTTCTTGGGCTGAAAATGGGCTGAGGACCGAACCAACTCGGAAAAAACCCTGCCAAACCCTTGGGACATTTCGGGCTCGGCCACTGGTTTTTGTGGGAAGTTAGGTCAGTCCTCCATGTCCCCAATATTTTGACCAAAGCTCACATAGGATCCGATCAGGTTACACGTGCCATGGTCAAAACTCGTGGCGGCTCCAGGCACCCCTGAAAACTCCCGATTGAGAGGTTGACGAATTTCATCCAAAGGGGTGACCATGGCACACTGTTGGACAAACTGGGACACATGAACCCCTGCAAAAATCCACCACCGATTTGAGGGGCAACGGTCCATTCATGCGGATCCACGGCAGGCCTTGGCCACCTTCCCCAACTCCCTCTCGATGGAGTGAATGTCCACCTGCTTGTAGCCTCCGGATCAAGGACCCCCCCCCCCCTTTCGCTCCCTTTTTGGGTGTTTGGGCATCCGGGGGCGGGCCGTTTTTTGAGGCTGGACACCAACCCTTTTGGCATGCTTTGGGGTCTAGTTGGGAAAAAATCAAAAATATTTTAGGCTGTTGCGGACCCCCCAACCAAAAAGGAAGTTGCTGGGGTTTCTATTCGGCTTCCTGGTAAAACCAACCGACAGCGGGTCCAAAACGGTTGGCTTCGCCTTCTTGGCCTGGACGGAGCGCTAGACATTGCGGCGCAAGTGAACATTCACATTTCTTGGTTCTCCCGGTGTTTCTTTTTCGAGGGTCAGTAATTACCCTTTTGAGAGGAATCCAAAAGGGAATCATCAAATTCATACCGCCCGTTTCTTTTTTTTTTGGGGGGTCCTGCGTTCAAACGCACGCTGCAAAGCCACGGCTGCAAACAGCAAAAAAAGCGGGTTGCAGACTTTAGTGCTCAAGCCACAAGAAAAATCAGAACTCCCAAAGTCAGAGGTGAATCATTCGCGCAAGGCAGAACCTCAAGTGCCGCAAAAAAGAATGACTTTGCTCCAACCAACTAAAAACTGTGTCTTGGTTCTGGAGTCTGCAAAAAAAGCTTCTTTTTGGTGTCCTTTCAAAACACCAAAAAAGGGTACCCTCCAAAAACAACCACACGCACACGCACACCTCCCAAAAGGAGCCAGCCAAAGAAATCCCCGGGCGTTTCGTGCGTGCCTTCATCGAGGGTCAGCGAAATGGTCACCTCGGAGGTGGCAATCACATCCACTGACGCCGCGAATTTGTTGAAGACTGAGAAGACCTCGGCCGGAGTTCGACGCCCACCACAAAGTTAAGCGTCCAGTTGCAAGGGAACATAAAGGACAACTGAAAGGACCCCCTGCCAAAACGCTGCCTGTTTGCAGGTTGAAAGGGCAAATTAAGGACAACGCACAAGGTCAGTTTTCGAAGGTTGAAAAGGGAAAAGGCAAAAGAAGGCAAAAGGTCAAAGAGGCAGGCTAAGTCTGGCAATGAGACATGGGCCAGGAAGCCATGCTGGCCAAGCATTCGACCTCAGTCTCTCCCGTGTCGCTGTAAACCAGGTTGAACCGGTTGCAAAGAAAACGGGAATTGGGGAAACGCAAAGGCCCCCGCTAAAGGAATGCGTGCCGGCCCTTGTTGTCTTGTAAGGGGTGGTCTCAACTTGGCCGAAGATCTTGGGAATCTTGGGCACACTGGAAATACTATGTTCAGATGCTGCTTCGTAGTCAACCCTAGAATGTTGCTTTTTTCCTGGTGGGAAGCCAAAGGAGCACCAAATGAAAGCCTAAGCCTGCCACATCCGCCCACAAAACCCTGGTCAAGCGTGCTAATTTACAGGAAATCCAACGTGTTCGCCTACTTGGCGATGGTTGGATGTGGCTGGTTCGCTTGCACTAGTGCGTCAACCACAAAGCATGGGTGCGTCTTCTTTTGAGAGTACCCACTTTTTGTGGTAAAAGGGAAGCCAAAGGAAAACTGACTTCCATTTTCGTAGTTCTCGAAAAAAAGGACACGCTAACATCTCGGTTGGTCAGGTGGGCATCCAACCTACTTGGGTACCTGCAATTTCCCCATTGCAACGAACTCGCCTCCCTCTCTGGGTCTCGCGCTGCTCTTGATCACCTGAGCGTGGCAAAACCAAGCAAGCGACCGCGCAGACCGCGCATAAACCCAAAATGTATTGGGCCATTTCTTTAGAGGTCCATAGAGGTCCTGTGGATTGGTCTGAGGAAACCCAAAGGAGTCCAACGGGTAACGCTATGGAACGCTGGTGTGTCCGGGCCGCGATCATGGTGATGTCCTTCTTGCTGCTGATGGCTGCGACCCTCCTCTCGCGCTTCTCCTCATCGTCCAGCTGGGGCACTATTCGGGTGCCTACGCAGCGCGGCATTTTGGCCAACCTCACATGGCGGCTAACCTCATTTACTCACTTCATGAGTGGATTGGCCAAAAATGTCGGCAAACTGCTTGTTTGCCACTAAAGGGGTCTTCCCAAAAAGTAGAAAGTCCGAAACGGAAGTCAGGAAGTGAGCTTATGGCTTCCCCTGTTTTCTTTGGCTTCATTTCTGTTTAAGCACGGGAAACCACAAGAGCATGGAAAAAAAGGGTGGTGGGCTTGAGCTCCTTCTGAATGTCAGGGCTGCACCAACCGACGTGGCGTTCCCCCACAGCTTCGTACACAACCTCCTTGACCCCTTGACTTTTGGAGGAGACGTCCTTTGACCCAACTCTGTACAAACAAATGTAGGTCTGTCCCGTTTGTTGAGGGTACCCCCTTTCGGTTGCTTTCACCACCCAAAGTGGGGAGTCCGATTCCAAGAAATGGCACACCCAAATATGTCCCGATGCTTCTCGTTGCGTGAGGCGCAACGCGTATTTTGGACCCCGGCCCGAGCCGCCGGAAACCCCCCAGAAAACCCTCCATTTCTGCCTGGGTCGTCCGGGGCCATGGAGTTGCGCACGCTCCTCACGGATCCGACTCCAGTTATGTGTCTTGCTGGGAACCCAAAGGAAAGGGAGAAACCCCTTGAAGGCCTCTGGACGAGGGAAGCCCAAAGAGTTGTTGATTTTGGTTGAATGAAGGCAAATCCAAGAATCTAGAAGGCAGGCCAAGAAGGAAAACGCGAAATGAAGGAAGTTGACGGGAACCTCTGGCAGGGAAAAACCCTTCTTGCTGGTTGACAAACAACGAGGAGAATGAAGAAACACGCAACAAGCTGTGTTCTGTCTGTGGGTTGAAGGAAACAGGGCTCCAAAGATAGTTTCCCTTAAACATCACAAGGAAACTCAGTTTGCACCCAAGACGATGATGTTTAAATTCCAAAAATAGGCAACCATTGGAGCCTTGGGAAGCCCCAAAGCCACGTTGGTGAATTTGGAGATGGAGAATTTGTTTCTTCAGGGCCGTTGGCAAAACGCACCCGTGGTCAAATCCAAGCGAAACATAGGGACTGGGAAAACCCACGAAGGGGACCGCAAAAAGGTGTGACTATCTGATTGAAAAGGGAAATTGGATTTGAACCCCAAAAAAGTTCTATGAACAGGGAACAATGAGAACCCCAGATTCTTCGCTTCCAGTTTAGGGAGGTGTTTCTTTCGGGTTTAGTGGGGATGACCCCTGCGAGGCTTCGCGGCTTCGCGTGTTTGGCCGTGGCTCATGGGCACCCCCTGCTGCCAGGCCGGCAGCACCGCAGCCGGGTGCACCACCTTGGCGCCAAAGGTGGACAGCTCCGCCGCCTCCTCGAAGGTCAAAATCCTGACCTCGGCGGCTGGGCTGAAAGCTCCCGCCTGACATATGGCTGGCGAACCAGGATTTTTTTGGGCTTGTTTGGAAGGGAAACCCAAGGGAAAACTTATGATTTGGGGAGTCCCCGAAAAGGAAAAGACACACCCCTCTAGCTACCCGGAAAAAAAAAAAAAAAAGCGACACACCCATATGGGGAAGCTCCCCCATAAGTCATGGGCATTTGCAGGTGTGGGGTTTGGAGGTATGCTTGCATACCAACAGAAGCTAGTAGGGCAGTATATACCACGTAAGCAGTAATTCCATACCTCCAAAACTCATATCTGAAAATGCCCTTGACTTCTGGGGGTATCATTTTGCAGAAGAAAAAAAACACTTTTCAGGGGTGGTTGACAAGGGCAAGGACCCATTGAACAAAATGAGGGTGTCGATTCTCTTGGGGGCTCGGTAACTGAAGGAAAGAACCCATTTAGGCAGAATCCCTAGTTTGAAACAAACCCATATACCAGCGTTGGGGGGGGGGGGGTATAAAACTAATAGTGGGGACATGCTTTTAGGCTTTGTGGGCACGAAGGAACTGGGTTCCAATCACTTCCCATGATCAGGAGCCCTCAGGATAGTCACTAGTAGCCCCTATTGGGATGGTCGGGGGGTTGACAATCATTGGATCACAATCTGAATGCAAGTATACAACCACCAAATACCCACTATCACAGGTAGAACCCCCCGGCCCCCCACCACTGGCCAACCTGGGGTTGTCAATCCAACATGGTTTTATTGGTGGGGTGAGAAGCCTCGAAATACGAAACCATTTAGAGGGAACTGTTGAGGATATCGCTGGAAAATGCGCCGTTCCTTGCCAAGACTAATTCAGGGTCACAGCAATGTCCACTAGAATCAGCTTCCCACCAATTTTGGAGCCCTTGTGGTGTGGTGGTTAAGGAGGGGGTTCCCATTAGATCCCACTGAAAGAACGCAAACACAAAACGCCAACCGCTCTTTCGGCCCCCGGCCGGCTTCGCAGATGCGATGACCCGGGGATCCGTGGTCTGCACCCCGCTCACGTCCTGGAAGGTAGAAACCCCGCTGTAGAAATAGGTGCCCAAGGCACAAATGGTTAGAGCCAACCTGAAATCGAATCGGGAAAGCAAAAACGAGAAATTGGAGGGGACTTGTTTAACAAGAAACAATTTATCTGTTTCCATACACATTTGTTCAGTATGTTTTCTTTTGCCGTAGGCAAGTGGAATCCATATTTATTTTGTATATGAGCCACGAAATTAACAGTGGATTCAATTTGATAGGCCCCCTATTCTTGGTGACCGAAGGAGATAATATTGGGGTTCCCCCCTTCTCGTCCACAATAACAGACCAGTAATATTGTCGGCTCGTTACCTTGGTGAAACAGAATATTTATACATGCACATATTGACTATAGACATTTACATTCTATGATTTATACCTGATATACCAACTTATTAAACATACTGAACAAAGGAAACATACTGAACCAATACGTATGGAAACAGAAAGAATGGTTCATCGACATCAAACCAACACAGAGTGCGCCTCTCGCTCAGTCGCTCCATCGCTCAATCCGCGCGCCTTCCAGATCTGCACCTCAGAGGCCTTGACCGCGGCGCCGATCACCGTGGCCGTGAGATCCGAGCCGTCGCGGCCCAGGGTGGTGATGACCCCTTTGGGGTCCTGGAAACAACTCGAAACCCCAAAGCACGTGGGGTGCAAAAACGAAACTCTCCAGAAATTTGAGGGTCAAAGGTGCTCTTTTTGTGTTTACCATGGAAAGTGTGTCATAGGCTAAAATTATAGTATAATGAAAGGGTATAAAGATTTACACAGTGTAATCACATTAGAGTTAAATACTATGAACAAACAAGATCAAATTTCATAATGAGTGATTGTGCACATGTTAAACTGAGTAAATTATATCATCACAAGTTGTCTATTGACTGATCTTATTGAACTCGCTATTTTTTGCAGCATTTGTTCAATTGTAATATGTAGTTCCTCTTTACTTGTCATGATTACTGGTTGGATACACAATTACATGTTCCGATGCTAGTGGCATATTCAAATTTTGCGGTAACATACATGTCAATCTTTATTTCATCAGCATTGCTCTTTTTTTTTTGATGGGTTCAATGCGTATGAAAACGCCTCATCGCCTTTTGTTGTTTTGTGTATTTCGTGGTCGTACCTTGTGATTGTCATTGCCGGAGTTTTACGCTGTCCAACAACATCATTAGTAAGGAAAGGCGTCCATTTCCTTTGTAAGTCTCTTAAAGCATCGCATTGCTTCAGTCTACGCCACCCTCACAAACAAATAACGTAAGAAATAAGGTTTGAAACTAAGCCATCAGGTAAGTTAGTCCAATTCTCAACCAACAATTTACCCATACTCATGTATCTCGAAATGTAATAAGCTGACATTTCTTTAAGTCTATGTTATTTTATCTTTAGGGGCGGGGGTGGGGTTATGCTGGTAAAGCATTTTCTAACAGACAGTACCATAATGGCAAGATGAGCTAAAGACCAACAAATCAGCAACATCTGTTGTCACTTGGACGAGGGCTTCGGAAGCACCCAAGCGACACACAAGAAGGCAAAAGAAAAAGACCCAACAATACCTATCGGGTATCAAATTGACATAATGCACATGACACCAGACAAACATGTTCCACAGTATGCTGTAGTGGTAATTGCTAGTTCAGTAAATTAGCGGATGTAATACCGATGGAAGAAAGAGACGTTAAGCATGCATTGAAAGCGTTGAGGGCAAGGTTTAAAAAAGATGGGTTTCCCAATGAGTTGCTACACAGACAACGTCCAAAAGCTTGTTGAAAGCGAGGGTGTCAAACACATCATCACGAAGACCGACGCAAGACGCACACATACCAGGAAAAACACAATTCACGATAGAGTTAGGTTTAACAGTTAAACATGAATGGACTGATGCCTTAATGCCAGCATTGCTACAGTATAACAACACATGCACTCATCAACAAAGATGACACCGACCAAAGCGCGCAAGGACGACAATAAGGTCAATGAAAAAGTCAATCTCAAACTAAGAGAAAAGAAGACTAAGAAAGTCGTTTTTCTGCGGTCAAGTCCTTGACCATAGACTGCATACTTTGATCGAATCTAGGGCCATTTCGATATTCCGATCGCCTTCCCTTCACGGGTGTGGTAAATCGGGGTAAGTGCACCAGGACAATTGTGACACAGAGCTCCTTCGCTATGTAGCCAGTGATGATTGGTACATGGGAGTAATGCAGCTTGAGCGGGCTCAGCTTGTCGCTGATTTCCTGAAACAAAAGCGCGAATTGTCGAAATCTGCCTACCTGGGTGTCGTTTTTGAGAGTTCCTATTCTTTTTGCGGGATGAGAGAAACCAAGGGAAGGCCATATTTTTCGGGGGTTCATTTAGAGACAAAACCACCTCCTATTTTGGGACAAACTTGGGGACTCTCTTAGGGCTCTATGTGTGCCTCCTCAGGCCAAGGACCCCCAAACACGCAGGTGGCAAAGCGTGACAGTCACTGGATGTCCTCCTAAGTCTCAATTGACGCCTGGTGTCCAGCTGTTTCTGGTGTCCACAAAAGGGAAATTGAGGGATCCCTGCGAGGTTGCGTCAATTCGCCCAAAGCCATCCCCCGCGCTTGCCCAGGTACAGAAGCAAGCAAAGGAAGTGTACTGTATCATCTGCCAAATTTTTGGTTAAGACTGTCCTTATGAACAAATTTTGTACGGCTCGTCAAAATAGGGATTGGGACACCAAAATGGGTTCGGCATTCCTTTCGGTTTCCCTTGCCAAGGTGAAAATTGTAGCATGCAACTCCAAAGCAAACAGATTTAACTGATCATGAGAAGGTGAAAAGGCAACTGGCAAAGGGCACCGCCTTGTACCCATGTGCAACGGGTGTTTCCACCGGTCCGTCAGATTCCATTTTGGATGAGTCTCACCATGCATCCACCAGTTTGATTCATCCGGCAACCCGAAAGTGACCAACGGGGTATTCTGGCATTTTCACACCCAAGCTGCCAAGATGACACGACTGTCAATATTCGTGTTGAGGGGACACAGGATTTTGGTGAGCGACCGAAATCCATATTCGAATAGAAGTTCGGTGAGTGTGCCCAATGGTCAACCCGCTTGCTACAGCACACATGATGGTAAATATCAGGACAGCTGGCGAAATGTGTTCAAACAATCAGACCCTGGTCCCCGTCAAGGGAAAGCCAAAGCAAAAGCGGGTTGTTTCAGCAGTATTGGCTTCATTAAGAAGCATGTTTAAACAGGCCATTGAATCGCCCAATGGTAAATATTGACTCTCGCTCACGTCAAATGTGCGATGCTGAAAACTGTCATGGTCATGGCTTCCTTAGGCACCTCCGCATTGGTTGTACTACCGTGGGAATTCCTGAAAACTTGGGTTTCCTTTAGACCTCCCTTTACCAACCGAAAAGAAGCTCCAACCCAGAAGAAGTCGATAAAGGGCAAGAGCTTGTAAGCTCCAGCACACCGATACCGGACCGCCTGAAATGAGTAGTTGCCCTTTAAATTCCCTTTGACACCACCCCCACCACGAAAAAAAGGAAGCCCCTCAAGAAACACAACCCCAAATGGCACGTCCAAGTTCCATTTGGGTATGTGTCAAAATGGCAACCCCCAAAACATGGCAGTTGTCCACTGTAGCCAACCTGAAAAGGGCCCTGAAACAAACATGTGCCCATGTGGGTGTTGGGTGTGTGTGTGTAAATTGGGTGGGGGGGAGGGTGCATTTTGAAGATTGGTATTCCTGTGGCTTCCCTTCTGCAGGTGAAAAAAGAGCCCAGTTCCTTCGCCTCAAAAAAGCAAACACCCAACACTCCCAACTCGCCGAAGTCCGAGGTGCCGTGGACGCATCCTCGAGGATCTCCACCGAGGTAAAGGCGGAGTCCGCAGATCCGGAGCCGCTGGTGGTCTGCATGCCGATGTCCCAGGCATCGATAGCTCTAGCCTCCACCTCCTGGAGGGTAGGGGTAGGAATCGGTCGGTCGATGTCAATCGGTTGCACCGTTTTTGGTGAATATGGGGTCTTTGTCCGAGTTTGGAGGAGGGGTTGCCAAATGGGTCGCCAAAACTGGTGAATGTGGGGTCTGGGATTTGCAAAACGCCAGGTGGTGCAAGAATCTTTTGCGGTTGCCCTTTGGTTGGTTCAAAGGGAAACGGGGAAACCGAAGCCATATTGAGACGCCTAGTTTGACCCAAAATGAGCCTGCGTTTTGGGAGGTGGTACCCTTTTGAGGTGGGTTTGAAGAGACGTAAGGAAAAGCAAAGCCAATGTTGGGGTTGATTTAAAGGGAAACCCAAAAGGACACCAACCAGTGTGTACTTCACGATCATTTTCAGGCTTGCCTTCTGGGTGTAGTAGACAAACACATGTTTGAAAAGCGAATAATGTTGAGGTTCTTTGCATGTGGGTATCGGTTCTTTGGGGGTGGTATCTCTTTCGAGCTTTGACTTTGGGGAGCCTCCTTCAGGATTCTGAGGTGAGCTATGTGCAGAGGTACAAACGCCACCCTGCAAATGCAGGTCTCAAAATCTGCAGTTTGTCTCAGGGCCACCTTCTTGACCCAAACTCTGGGGTTTCCAAAGGGTTCAACCCCCATTGAAAGAATGGTTGACCCAACTTAGATGACAATCCTTAAGCAAACACTGGTGCTGTTGACACCCATTGTCGTGATGGCAGTCTGAAACCCCGGGTGTGTGTTTGGGATTCTCAAAGGCAAAACCCGCCTTCTGGCTGGCTACGTGTGCCACAAGAAACACTTTAAGACACGGGTACCTGCCTGAAGAAACGGCGCCGTGTGAAGATATTTCCCGTGAGATGGCAACATCTCCCACCGAAACGGGAGGCTATGCATGTGATCTGATCCCAATCCGCGGGTAGGTGGCCCTGGCAAATGGGATACCCATCTAAACGAGTGGAACCCCTGTATTTCCCAATGTGAGTCCAAACTGAGCTAAAGGACACCTATGCCCACAAAAGCCCTAATAACAGCATGTTTTCCCTCTCCTTAGGATCTTCCTGGGATAGATCGGACACAACAAAAGTTCGTTAAGGCAAATGGGGGGGAGGGGATCCTCGAAATTGGGTATCCTCTTTGATGGCGTGAAAGGAAGGCAAAAAGGAAGCACATATTTCTTCGGCCCAATTTTCTAGATACAGGAACTACTTGATAACTTGTTCAGAGCTCCTATATCCCCGAGAAGAACATCGCCAACCAAATGATGGTTAAATCACACCCAAAGGGAGATACAAGGACTCCTGCTGTTTGACCATGTCAGCACTGTCCTCGGGACTTTCTCTAAGGCGGTTGTACGCAGCAGCAAATGCGCGTACACTCAACCGCTCGCCGAAGGACACGATGCGATCTCGCGTTTGCGTAGATATTTCCTGCATGCATGCGAGCTGGCAAGCACTGGGAAGGACTTGATTCAGTTGGCAGCCTGAAAAAATTCAATAACGCGAGCCGCGGATTAGTAAGCCCATCCTGCTACTGGATTCAGGGGGCTCACCCACACGTGAAGGATTGCCACTAGAGGCACCCCCCTATGAATCAACCAGGGGATATTTATCCGAGGTCAACGTTAGAAAACCCCCAGAAGTGGGTAGCTTAGACTCCACAAAAAGCGTCTCATTAAACATCATCTCATTGGGTCATTGGGGCCAGTTTGGCATACAAGGAGAAGTGAACTACACATGTTGGCCATGTATTCTCCTCTGGTAGTCTTACTTGATTTAAACCCAGGACCGGTGATCTCTCCCAAAAGGGGAAACAACAGGGATTGTCGTTTCAGGGAACCCTTCAAAACTTCGAAGGGTGGTTCTCCCTTGGCCTCCCTGCAAAGCCACCACAAAACAGCTACCCAAAACAAATGGACGACTCCACATGGCACCGAAGGAGCCTTGAGCAGAGCGATTCCATTGAGGAGTTTCTCTAGCTCAGCCAAGAGATCGGAGACAGAGCTCGGCATCTGCACCCTGGACCAACCATCCACCCCCCCAACCAAAAAAAAAGAAAAAGAAAAACAGACCCGAAGGCCCTATTAGGGTCTAGGGAAACAGCGGGGGTAGGGCAGCTTGGAATATGAACTATTCGATGGGCGCTTCGGTATGGCTGATCCCCGATAGGTTGGAAGTAGACCAAGCGCGAACTAAGGAACGCATGACTAACAACGGTTTCCCACCTATGCGGCTCGATTCTGAGGATCGAATGCCATGTGTTTCGGGGAAATGATCCATGCCAAGGATTCCTCTGCCTGCAGTTTGGACATTGTTTGGCATGACATGCATCGATGCAAACAGGCAAGTTGCAACTGCTCGACAGAGGGCTACGAGCGTACTCGTCCTTCATTTTCCCCATCAGGGTGGGGTTAGGATCAAAGACAAACATCTGAACATGCCTGGCTGCGCGTTGAGATAAAATTGGTTACGCCCAGAACTGGGTGCGCCCTTTTGTAGGGAAGCCCTTGGAATATTTTATGCTAAGGGGAACTCAAAGCCGAAACCACAATTTTGGGGTCAAGCCAAAGATTGAAAAGCCCCACAGTTGCCATCTCATTTGAAGAAGTCTACCCCAAATCCCATTGGTCAACAGTGAAGCAAACTTTTTGTGGCACCTCCAAACCTTGATCTGCCCATATCTTCCCCAATCGGTTTTGATGAGGATGGGGTGATATCGCCCCCTTTTGAGGAGAACCAAAAAAGGCTATTTACACACTCTGCATTGAAACAATGGGTGCTGGCCCAACCGTGGTTTTGCTACCTGCCCAGGCGCCCTAGCTGCTCGAGCGCATCTTCGTGCGTCTTCCTGGCATCGCATCTGCACGTGAGCCCCGGACAAAATGACTTGTGCCCCCATGTCCTGCCCAAACCAACAGTAGACTACCCGTAGTGGTGCCAGCTACTCCCGCATTGTCTGATGTGGATATCCCAACATGAAACCAGAAGGATGAGGGGATCCTGAATACATTTCCCAATCCTAGGCCAGGATTGGGATTTAGGATCTGATTTTGAACAACGCAGCCTTTGAAAAGGAACAAACGCAAAATAGCAAACACACAAGGAATGGCGGGCTGAGGGCGGGCAGTTGTTGCCAGCTTCATGTGGCCTCTTGCGCTTCAAATTGTTGGTCCAGGGAAACGCTGACAACGATTTCCAGGAATTTGGCACCCCCTCAAAACGCAATGGTTCTCTTGATTTCCTGTACAACCCTTGTTATGGTAGCAATAACTGTTTGGCTGCCCCCTATCAAAACTGAACAGAACCAACAAAAAGAACAACAAACAACTTGCCAACAACAGTGAAGTTTCCCTTTAGACATCTTTTCCAAGTCAGTTTTCCTTTTGGTGAGCGAATGAAACGGGGACCTCCTACAAGCAAAGACACATATATATATATATACATATTAGATACATATAAGAATCCAAGTGATTGGCCGTCCTGATTTCGCTGATGTCCACGTTGGAAGACTCCAGTGCGGCATTGGCTGCTCTCAGCAGCGCATTGGTCGTCTTGCCCATTGCGCTCACAACGACTATCGGTCTGTCGGATTGCGCCTGCCGTGTGGGACATGGGCTCCGATTGGAATGAGAGGCCAAATAATTAGAATCAGAAAAAAATGCACAGTTGCAATGGGGTTGCCCCTGCCTTGCGAACGATTGAGGCACACCTGCGCACTGCCTCTGCTCCTGCCACCGATGTGCCACCAAACTTCATCACCAAAAGGGGGCACAGCGCTGGCTCCTCGGGGAAACAGCGAAAACCACAAAGCGAAGCATGGCAAGAGGAGTCGGGTATCGCTGTAGGAAAGAAAGGAGCTCAAACCACATAAGCTACAAGCCTTACACGCCGACAGGAGTTCCGACCTGGCACCTCTGTTATGCTCAACGCGCAAACGCGCATCATGCCGGGCTCCCGGAAGACAATACCCGGACGCAATGGATCTGGACAAATGACTACAATTCCGAAACACACGAGGGAATCTCCAGGGACCTTCATCATGGGCTTGTTTGCTCATTGTACACCTCCAACGGTGAGCTCGTTCAACATTAGTGATACTCGGTGAAAGACCAGTGAAAAACAAGAAGAGCCTCTTGCCATACCTATTTGGGAATGTCTGTTTTTGGTGAGGCCCCTTTTTCTCTGTAAAGGGACACCAAAAGGAAAACCAGCTAGAAGGAGGTTCCCCGGTTCCCCCAATGAGAACCCATTTTGAGAACCCAGGGAAACCCCACATTTTGGGGGAGCCCGGGTCAGCCAAAGCACAAAGGAAGCGTCGGGCGTGATGTCCGTCGGGGTGGTGGCCCATGGCTGGTTCTGAGTCTGGGCCACCTCGGAATCAGCGACCGCAACAAACCCGAGACGCTTGGCTCTACTAACGCGGCTATCAAGGTTTATACAGGCGTTGTTAAGGATGTAGGCGTTGTTAGGCTTTGTTAAGGTGCATGTAGGCTTTACAAGGTTTACAAAAGCTTTATCAAGGTTTATATAGGCTTTATTGAGGTTTGTATAGGCTTTGTTAAGGTTTAAAAGGGCGACTGTACAATCCATATGAAACAAGGCAGTAGAACCATCCACTAAAATGGCACTCTTTGGACCTTGCCGATCTTTTTCCGCTGTTTAAAGGGGATACCGAACAGTTGGCAACCCAAATGGCAAAATTGCTGCTTGGGGAGCGGAACGGCGCGAGGGAAGGGAGAGGGTCGTTTATCCCGTGCATGGTCAGTTCAATATGTCTCCTTTTGAAACTTGCAACGCAAAGGCAGTATATATATATATATATGTACACACTGTGTCTGAATATGTAAATATATTATAGTATTGACCATAGGTGACCATTTGGAAAGATACACGGCGCTGGCAAATAGAATTAAATCAATCTAAACCAGTGCAAACTATGTCTAGCCAAACTACCCTAAGAAGGACACCTATGGTCTTGACAAAGAGCCTTCTGCCCAATGCCTCTAGAATAGGTTCTTCATTCACAGCCATGCAGATGGCCCAGTTCCGGATTCAAACGCTGCGCGTCCAAAGCAAGGACCCCAAACTGGGAAGCTCACAAAAAAGGAAAGGCACCAGCAAACATGCGCCCCTCCTCCCTTCAATACAAGGTAGAAAAAAAAACAATATCCGATGCCCGTACCAAAGCTAGGTGTTTCGCTCCCCCCATTCCACTTTTCCAGTTTTCCCCACAAGGCAAAATGGAACATGAAGTTCCAGGCCTCTTTCTCCCCCGCCCGCCGTGAACGGACTCCAGGTTTGACGCAACCCCTTGTTAAAACCACTCCGGGAGGGGGGGGGGGTCTTCTTTGAAGGTGCCTGTCTGGTTCATTTTCCCAGCAGTCGGGTCTGGTTCAAGCGGTGCCCAAAGCGGATCGACTGTTCCTTTCGGCTTCAAACAACCACGCGTAGTTGTGGGCCCAACAGGGTGCCCTCCTCTCCAGCAACATTGGAACTTGACTGGGTCCTGCAAACATCCGTTTGCCTCCAAAAGGAGCCCTCTGGTGGATTCCATGGGAACGCGACCTTTCCCTCAGCAATGTGCTTGACTCTGGTCCATAGTTAAGGATGTATCTTCGTGAGGGCGCCCTTCTCAGGTTGGCAGGGGAAGCCCTTGAAGGAACGCCTTTCTTTGTTTGCCATGTGGGCAGTCCCATATTTGAGCAAACCTTAACAAGTAGTACGCCCAGGTGGCATCCCCAACAGCAACCCCTTTTGCACTTGCTGAGGCTGGGCACAGGCCGCTCATCCCGCCATTGCAGCGGCTCGAGGGTGATGTCGTCCTCTGGTTTGGTCAAGAACGGAAAGAACCCTAAAGCCGCCTGAAGCCATAGGTGACCGTTTGGAAAAATAGATGGGTGTCCCTCGTAAATGTTTTCAAAAAAAAAGAGCTGGGGTAGGACACTTGGAAGAGCAATTCTCCTCTTGAAGGGCCTCCCTGTCAGGTGCAGCTCGAGAAACGGTCACCCTAAGGAACACTCTTCGAGCAAAATCAAAAAAGGAGAAGGCCGAAACACTACGCCACGGAACAAAAGGACCCGATCCACATCCAAGACGCGAAATCCGCGTGGTTGGAGGAGAAGGTCATCACGGGCGAGTGGGAAAATGTGGCATCCTGGGCTAGTCTTTGACCGAAACAAACAAGTAGACTAACAATTCAATGAGAAACATGCAATTGTTTGACACATTTTTTGAGGGGGAACAACTTTGCCAGTGTTTCACATCCCAAAAGGCTAGAAGGGGGACCCTGTTTTTCCGACCTCAAACTTGTTATTTGGCTGGATTTGTATTCCCGGGTCCAAAAAACCGGTTGGGCTAGGTCACCACCGAGCCGCGTTGGCGCACGGCATCAGCCCGCCTCCCGACGGCATTGGACCCCTCCTCCAGAGGGGTCTAATGAGGCCCCTCGAGGCTGGAAAAAACGGCTGCAGGCGGCTGCCTTCCAGGTTGAGGCGCCTCCCCCCAGCTCGACTTTTCAACAAAAAAAGGCTGAATGCCTCTTCAATCACGTTTTTTGTTGTTGATCAGATTGCCGGGCTCGAAGGCACTCCGGAAGGCTGCGGCCTTCGGCAGAGATTATGGAATAATAAAAGAAAATATGTCTATGAGAAGTTACTTCCAGCCCAACAGTAAGTATTTGATCCTGAAAATATACATAGAATTATAAGAAACACAATGAAGTCTGATGTAAAAACCAAATGTAATGATTTCCAAAATAACATAATTCTACAGAAGAAGCAAAGAAACATATAAAAGTTTCAATAATTATCCAGAGATGAATGTCAGAGAGCTGTTTGAGGGCCCTATGTCAAGGACGGGTCGACGTCTGGGAAGGACACAATTTTGGGAGATCCGGAAGTGTCGAGCCATGGGGACAAATTGGCAGTAGTATGATGGCTTCGTAGGGGTACTAATATTCTGCCCACTACCTTGTATGGCTCCGTACAAGGGGATCCCCTCGAAATGGTCTTTGATCCAGCCTCCACATGAATTCCCGAGGTATGCATGCGCCCCGACGTGGACCCTCCCCGGAATGGTACTGAGCAAATATTGAATGAGTACCAAACAGGGCGAAGAACGGCAGGCATCCATGAAAAAAAGTCTCAAACTAGTTTCTAGAGGGCTGGTCTGGGAGGTGGCGTACCAAGGGGGTTGGTGGGTAAAGTGCTTGCAAAACACATGCTCCCCCTCAACGTGTCGAAACCATAGAGGAGCTGTACTAATTCCTGTATGGCAGTCCTTTGTTTGAGGGTGCCAAAGATTTGGGATGGATTTTGAGGGGGAAAACAAAACGCACCATTGTTCAGGCATCGCCTGAGTTGAGAAACATATAACACCAACACAAACCTCGCAAGTTTCAAGGGATCGGTCAGAAGATTCGGGGGAAACTGTCCCGCTTCCATGATTCATCCCGGGTTCGAATCATGTACATACGTTTCTGGCTCTACCAAGATGGTGACAAGCGTTTGTATAGGCCCCAACTACTGTAACCCATATGAAACTAGGTAGTAGAATGACCTGCGAAAATGGTGCACCAATCTCCAAAAGTTACCGGTTTTGGAAGCCGCCGAATCCTCCCATGCCCCCACATACCCCTTACTCCAAATGTCCGTTTGTCAAGGGAATGTGTTGGGAAACCTGGTTTGACAGGCAAATACCTCCTCTTTTGGTCAGATTGGGAGTGGGCATGTTTCCTGGGCCAAACCTGGGCCCCCGGCCCGCGCGGCGTGCGCCAGCGCTGTGCCCCGCTGGCCGCCTCGGCTCGCTTCCATGGGTCGCATGGGTGCTAAATGGGTTCCTGCGGATGCATTGTCCGCGTCCCGATTTGTTTGGTGAATGCCTGCCCGACTCAAATGACTCAAAAGGGAAGGTCCAAACTCTGAGGGTCTCCTGAGAAACGGACCCTGTTTTCGGCTCCGTGTGAAAATGTTTGCAGGAAAATGTCGGGGTGTCCTTGACAATTGGTTTGGGTGTTCCCGTTTTCTGACTTCGGCTCGAAGATCGTCTCGGCAAACCAACTTGAAATGCTCGGACCTGGAAATCAAAGGTGATCACCTTTTGGGACCTTGACTATGGCACAAAATGGGAAAGCCAAAGATCAAAGGTCGGTTTACAACTGAGGGAAAGAAGGGGAATCCCTTAAGGGACCTTCATAGGTCGTTGTACCTGCTCGTGAGCCCATTATAACTCGGTGAGATGAACCCTTCAGACTAACCTCGGTTTGGGAAACGAGCTCCATCCGGATATCCAACCTAAACACCTTGGTCATTCTCCTTTGGATGTGTTTCCTCTCGTCGTACCCTCTCGTGGGTTCCATGCTTGTGGACAGAGGGTACGGGTGGTTTACTGAAACTGTTGATGGCTCTCGGTGCTTCGGCAAACATGTGAAGAACTACAGGTCAAACCAAACTGGTCTGTCCAACGAACAACTGGTTGGCAAAATGCTTGTTGACTTGTGGGCTTGTCTCAATATAGGGCATCTTGCAAATTGGTTGTCCTTTTCGTTTTCCTTTAAAACCACCAAACAAAGGTACCCTCAAAGGAGACAAACCCTTTTGGATTGTCATCTAAATTGGGGGTTGAACCCTGGTGCTTTCCCTTTCGAAGGTCCCACATTTCTTCTTGTGCCAAAAGGCCGACGTGGGCGCAGCGCCGCAGCTGCGCCAAGCCCTGGCCGAGGCATGCTTGGTTTGGTTTGGTTGGTCGGTTTTGGTTGTTGGTTGGACTGTTATCCAAGTTTGCATCAGCGCTAAGAGCCCCATTTTAGTGCTTGTATCTATCACATGATATGGCCGCTCATATACTTCATTTCATTGACAGTATCGTGTACCCTAGATTCCTATGTGTTCTGGGTCGTGGAACCTTTCGTGACTTTGAATAAATGCCTTGCTCTCCTTGACCAAGCTCATGCAAACACATCCAGCGAATCAGCTTCCCCCAAATTGGTGGTTGGGATCGGCTGTTTTGGAGGGGTGACGAACCATCTACAAGAACCGGGAGTTCAAATCCCTAAACCAATCCAAAGCACCCATTAATCATTAGGGGGTACCCGACAAAACCAGTGCCAATCCGATCTGATCGCCCCGTGCTGTTGGGAGCGTTTGTCATTTGCCAGAAAGGTTGCAAAGTTATTTTGGGGCTAGCCAAAGAGAAACCAAGCCTAAGCCCAGGTATCCAAGAGAACAAAGGGATTGTGGTAGATGAAAACCAAACTGAAATGAGTGAAAATCCCGATGGTTCACCAACCTGACCGGACCCCAATGCTCCAATCTTTGCCCTTGGGCCTCTGGGGGGCGGCAATAGACAGCCACACCTTGCGCCCAACCCACAAGCCTGCGCGTCCAAGTACTGCAGAAGTCCCAAAAGGCACTCCGGCAAACTGAGCAGCAGGGCCTTCGGCGCCGGAAGGGCGCTCCAGGCCCCAAAAGGCCGAAGAGGTGAAGAACGCGGTTCAGGCGGTACCAACACATATCCGAACCCCAAAAAGAGGTGCCCGGGAAAACAAGACCCTGTGTTTGGGTTCCATGGTTCAGGGCCAAAAAAACGCACAACTCCCATGATGGGCGTGCGCTTGATATTTAATTCTCGTCCCCCCTATGTCCCGAATTTGACATTTGCCAAAGGAAAAATGGGCTCTCTGTTGTTCGATGTGTTTAAAGGGAACTCCCTCAACAAACAGAGAAACAGGAAGCAACCCACTGGAGGTCTGGGCTTGATAACAGACACGGGCAGCCTTGACTAAGTGGACTCCCTCAAGCATACGACTCGCCTCCGGGGGCCCTCAACTTTGTTCCGAACAATTTGCATCAGCAGATCGAGCAGTGCCCAAAACCTTATTGACGTCTCCTGGCAAAATGCACCAACATAGGGTGTAGAGATTTATATTTGGGTGTTTCTCAAACTAGTGGTCCCCTTAATGATTGGTTCCCTCTCGTCCCTTTAAATACCAAAGGGAGGTCCATCAATTGAGAGCCCTCCACATGGGCCTGGGAGTAGAACCTCCTCCAATTTGCCAAAATTATTTGGGGGAATCTTTCTGCTTTGTGGTCCTGCCCCAGTGGCCTCGAGGTTGGTTGCTCTATAATGGCACAACTCCGCATACTGTCGACGCCGCTAATGCTTGTGTCAACTGGTTGAGCATGTACTATTGAACAACAGAACCCAATGTCTAGGCAACCATAAATGGATCCTGGTAGGGCATGGTCGGTGAGTTATTCCCCTATGATTTCCAGTAGGAGAACAAGCACAACCTCCTGCTGGCAGTGCAAGCACAATTGCCCAAGCTGGGAGTCACTTTATACAAATATTGTTTGAGAGAGGGTATCTGCAAACCAGGTTCCTCGTGAAAGGACCCGTTAGCGTAAGGGAGGGTTGCATGAAATGCCTGAGTTTGTTGCCAGGTGATGCCCCGTTAGGAATCGTGGTCACTCCTTCTGAGTTTCACATCGTTCGATTTGCAGCTGACACCGGCCCTTGCTGAGAAGCGCACTCCCATGTTGGAGTTTGTCATGGCCTGTGTGCGGAATGAATGCAGCAGAAAGCCCGCAAAGCTGCGTCAAGTCAGAAGTCATTGGACAAAGGAAAACATCATATCCAACCCCAGCCCGATAGAGTGCGGAGCGGGGGAAATCAAACTTTGCCAGCACCGAATGCAAGCCAGCATGACCTTGAGCTGAAACCATCTGATTAAGGAACACTGTGCACCCTCAAAGAGCCGGTGGTCCGGGCCTCTGGAAATACCCCAAATGGAGTCATTTCCCGGTGGTGCTTGTAACCCCAGTCCCTGAACTCTGACCACTGAGGCGCGCACAGCTCTTTCGGTCTCGGAGAAATGCTCAGGTCAGGCGAAGAGGCAAAAGGGTTTGAGGGTAAAGACAGGGAGAAGTCAATGATGGCCTGATTTGTCGTGTGCAACGTGTGTGTGTGTGTGTGCGGCGTGTGTTGCTTGCCAGACCTGCGGAGCGGCGAGTCGCGAGTCGCGAGTCGCGAGTGTGAGTCGCGCGCCACGTGCCGACCACCTGGATCTCAAGAACCCAACAGCGGGAGCGACTTCCCAAAGATTCCTTGCAAAATGCGTGAACGTCCCATCCCGAGCCTGTGCACTGACAAACTACCAGCCCGAAGCCCGTTTTCAGGAACTTCCGTTGGTCCTGTGGGGTTTGAAGCGCTGGTTTTCCGACAGCGCTGAAACAGCATTGTTCCCTCTAAGACTCTAAGAGCAAACACACGTGCTTCTCGTTGTTTCTTTTTTGTTTCCGGGGGGGTGGCCCCTATCAAAGGCCTCTTGCAAATGCGGCCATGCAACTAAGGTATTTATACGCCTGAATACTGATGGACGAAAAATCCCTGCACCATTTATCCTGGTATTCATAACGGGCTTGCGAATCCCAACTGGTGCAGGAATTCGACCATCCACAGTAGGGCTGGGCCTTGAGGAATCATGATGTTTTTCCCTGGTTGCAAGCTGCACCATCTGCAAACAGGGATAGGTGTATGGGTCTCAAGGTGACTTTCCGTAGGGCAACATCGTGTGGCTTCTGTTGGGCTTCTCTTGGCTGCATTGGGGACCCGTTGGTGGACATTGGAAATACATGGGATTCATGTCCAACCCTTTTGGAGCGCGTTCCAATTCTTAAAAGAGCTCGTGGCTACTAGCGACTAACAGTGACTAAGAATTGTTGAGGACCAATGGCTTGGCCATGAGCTCGAGCGGTGGATTGACAAACTCTGCCTGGAAAATGGGGGGGAGGTACCATTCAGGTATGAGTGAAAACCGACCTGAAAGGAGGAAAGCACAGGCGCAGAGAGACACACACACACACACTTGTTTTGTACAGTTGGGAGAAAGTAGACGGCACAATTCCAGCCCATGATGGTTTAGTCGTCCCCTTACCCACAAGTGAATTGTGCCATCTACTTTCACCCTGGTGTAACCTAAAGCGAATCTGGAGATTGAATCCCCAATATGGAACCACAAAGGGGCTTCCCACGGTTGGACAATGTGCACGCCTCCGGCTCTCCGGCTCTCCGGCCTTGCCCTCAGCGTTTGGAAACGGGAACCGGACGATACGGGGAGGGCATCTAAGGGCGACGCAAGGACTGAGGGATCCAAGAGGTGCGTAAGGGTTACGTGAGGGGTATCTAAGCGATAACAGGCATCTAAAATAAGATCTCTGGGCATCTAAAGAGCTTCTTTTCTCTGGCTGCCGTGCAGCTTCCCCCCCCCCCAAAGGAGTATCTAAACTGGGTCCGAGAGATTTACGGATAACTAGAACCATATGATCTATGTTGACAAAAATGGGGAACAAGTTTGCAAAGGTCGCCTCAGCTTGGGATTGCTTGAAAACATCCCTATGTGATTCAAATTGCGCCGGCCCTAAACAGGTGATGTCCTCTTCCCAGCCCAACAAGGGTAACCTCGAAACACACACACACACACAACCCACACACACACACACACCACACACACACACACACCACACACACACACACATAGACACAGCCCTCGGCCATGGCACGCGATTTCTGGGGATCCCGACGGCAGGAACGCGGAACGCTCCAAGCTCGGAGCTCGGGCCGAGCCAAAGCGGGAAGAGAAACAACTCTTGGTCATCAGCTTCCCTCCAACTAGCTTGGATTTGGTATGATTTGGTGGTTCAGAGGTTGGGGCTAGTTTCTTGCTTACCCTCTACGAGAACCTGGGGGTCAAACCCCCAAGCCACCAATCCAAGCCAAGAGTTTTCTTAAGCCTGAAAAATCAGAAAGGGCTTGCGGGGTACTTCCATACAAATCATTATTGTAGGAGTAAACTATTAATAATCAGTTAGCCACTTGTGCTATGTGTCAAGTTTGCGGGCTCCCTGTGGATTGGTGGTTGTCCTTTTGGTGTTCCCCTCAAACCAACCTGGAAAAGGTACCCTCAAAAAACACCCCGTGGGACATTCACTTGGGTGCTTGGCCAAGCCAATAAGTGGAAAATTGAACGGCTCGCTCGCCTCTTAGCCGCTTAGAAGCTCAAGAGGATCGAGCTAACCCTGTTCGTGGGTTATGACCCAGTAGCCATTTACCAATACTTGACCGAGAACCGCTTCGATGGAGTCCCGCAGTTGTCGGCATAATTTGGTGGTTCCCCCCCGCTTGTCCCTCCCAAAAGGACGAAATTGAACTCGGAGCTGGCTCTGAAAACCCTGATTTGTGAGCCATGGTCCCGTTTGGTCAAGACACGCACCTGAAGTTTCGTTCGTTTGAGTGCCCGCGCCAAGATGGCTCACTGCGAGCGCAATTTCAGGCCATCTGTTCGAGCTACGAGCATTTCGAACGAGTGGACGAAAAATGGAGCTTCAAAGACGGACACCCTAACATTTCTGATGCGCAACAATCAGGCAACCCGAGGAATTCGGAAAGTGCCGGGAAAGGTTGAGATAAGCAAACTTCCAAGGTTCAGGCCACGTCCAGGTCGGAATGTGGGTCTGACGGAAATCCAGTTGGTATCCGCCAAGCAATTAAACCGATAACCCACGGTAAACATTATGATGGTAGGCTTGAATTCATGTTCAAGAAGACAATCCCCATAACCTCAAGCAAGCATGACCACGGCAAAACAAGTGGTTCAAAGCACGACTTTTCGGACGCATTGTCCCCGCTGCAATGCCGGGCAATCCAGCGATGGCTTAAAAGTTCTGGATGAAAACGATTGGTGCTGTGCTTTGCCAGCCAAGCCTTGAAAGGCACTCAAATCCAACGCCGGAATCATCAGATCCGCAAGTCGTGCCTATCAGATCCAAAGATTCACTTGATCGGATTTGAGACTGTCTGCAACTCGCCCGGGGAACGGGGGTCATAATTTTCCCGCAAAACAAAGACGACTGTTTTCCCAAGTTGGCAAGAAAGGTTCGAATCGAACCCAAAGCCAGACCAGCAGCGCATTGCGTTGCGTCTACCAGGTGGCAAACGGGTTCACCACATCTTCCCTTTTGCAAGCCATAGAACTCGACAGGCAACGTGGGTTCAAAACGCTGGGTCCATTTCAATTGATCTTCATGGTCCATTTCAAAACGCATTTGGGAGTGTCTTAAAATCGGACCCCCAATTTTGTGTGTCCCTTAGCTTTTCTTTTAAGGGTACCAGCCTAGCAAGACACGCCCTTTTGGAGCCCACGTCGGACCCCCGATTGGGATCAGTTGGTGAAGAGCGCGGTGTGGATCCGCAGCTTGGCCAAGTCTGCAGACTCCTCGAGGCCATCTGTCAAGGGGGAGCTCCCGTGTTCCCATTGGCCAAAGTCGGGAAAATGGTCGGACTTCTTTTTGGTTAGCCTATCCGAAAATAGGGCCATGTTTGGTCGTCCTTAAATGCATGGAGCCTCGTATGGCTATGGACTTGAATAGGGGGATGCTCTGGTGGACATCATAATGTGGGGATGTTTGTCCACCAGCCATTTGAGAGGGCATTCCTCATTGTAATTCATAGCCTTGTAGACTGCCCAAACAGGCAGCACGACACAAAAACATACGGTAGGAAAAGCGACGTTACCCCGTGTAACAACGCTCAGGTGAGGTTGCAGTAGCTAATCCAAGGGTTTGAACCCAGCTGATTTCGCCAAGCGAGGACTGCCTGTGTAGTCAGGTCCGAAAATCGCACCCAGAACAGGTCCCTACAATTTGTGGTTAAAAACAGCCCAAAAGGGTAGCCTGGAAAAAGGCATTCCCAACCCGCGTCCTTCATGTGCAACACCCAGCCGTTGTCTGCCATTTCTTCCTCCACTCGGCGCCACATGCCCCGACCGCAGTCGAAGGCAACAGAAACCGGCGTAACGAAGCGATCAACCGATTCGGGGGTAGGCCTTCAACGGGTCTTCGGCAAAGCCCATGATTTGTCCGGGAAAACGACGTATGGTCTTTGGCTTCCAGGGAGCACGTTGATGAATGAAGATTAAAACACATGCACAAACACGCGCACACACACAGAGAGAGAGAGAGATAATACATGTGTACATATATATATATATATGCACACAGTACCCCGGTGACCACCCTGTACTCAAGCAGCAACGCATCGGCCCAATTTCAGATCCTTTCCAATCCCAATCCCAACAACCCTCGGGCCATGATTCCCCATCATCTGACATCTGCGATGTGGGCCATCCCGACGACATCGCAAAGGGGATTACAAGTGGCGCTCCAAAAACATATCCGTTCCGACCGCTACGAGTATTAGCCTTTTTGGGGGATGTTCGAAATAGAACCCTGTGGTACAGCCCTTCACCAAATTCATCGCCTGAATCATCAGCAGGTTTCGCTCCACCTCGCAAAGCTCGTAGCCGTTCTCCTACGGAAAGGTGCAGCGGTTCGGAACCTGTTTGGGTGGCGGAATGGGTTTGAAGTGTTGGGGCATGGGGGTTGGAGGGTTTTGGGTTCATGGGGGCTGGGGGGGAGGGAGCCCAAATAAGCCCTAAATACGGCCGTATTTAGGGCTTATTTGGGCTCCCTCCCCTCTGCTCCCTCCCCCCAGCCCCCATGATGGGTGGTTCTGGGGTGGTTTTGGAGGGTTTTAGGGGGTTTTGGGGGGGGTTTCTGAGGGTGGCAGATTTTTATTTTGTACCCCTACGGAGTCCCGGATTTTTGCAATAGGCAACAAGGAATCCCGTACTTCGTCCCATGGTTTATCGCTGATGTTGAAGATATGTTTTGAACCATACGAAAGTGGTTTCCTGCCCGGAGGCAGTATTGCGATTTGTCAGACCATGTCAGACCAGAACACTTCCGTGTAAGGGAGCCCCTCACTCGCATCTCATCCACTAGAGTTGGAAACATTGCTGAGCCAACCAGATCTTCGTTCCCTACAAAGGAAGACCAACTGGAAGCAGCTAAAAGAATACTGCGGATGGACATCCTGCACCAAACGGAATGGATGAAACTCTACCACTCTACCAATCACCAATCCCAACTGGTGCCCAGCGTGGATTTGACAGTGCCTTAGACATCCCCTCAACCTCAAGGTGAGGGATCCCCCCAACTCCATCTTCTAGTTTAGACCATGGTTTCAACAAAAGCTTGGCCTCCCATCCTCTCGCCCTCGTCTCCTCCTGGCTCTGAACCTCACGCGCGTCCAAACGAAGGCTCCGGTGACTTCCATCCAGCCCAAACTCCCAGGGACTTGGGATAGGCAGCCGCTAAATAGCCAAACGATGCACCGGACAGAACGGAGGCAATAGGTCACTCGCAGTTGCTATGGTTGGAAGAAAAAATACATCACCCCGCATGTTGGTTGCCGACATTTGGGGCTCTTTTGCCACTGGGCGCGCGTTTCTGACCTCCAACCACTTGTGCTGGGATATGTTCACTCGGCAGCCTTAAGCATCACCATCACATTCAAACGCCGGTTTCATCGGCGATTGTGGACGCACTTTGAAGGGCCACCATTGCTCTGCCACTTGCCACAACTTTCCTAGAGCATGACAATTCCAGCATCCACGCTGCTTACAGCTGTTTGTTGCCTGACATTTACCTCCCATAGCCCTGTTTCTGACCAACGCCTACGGACCACCGCGTATTAATGAATATACTTAAAGACTATTGGGAGGGTGTCAACCCATAAAAGCGACAGACATGTCCACTAAAAGGGGCGCAGTTGATGGACCAACCAGGCGTTCATTGATCTGACAACACAACTTGCAACATAACCAGTCCAGTCTCGAGGTCTGAAGGGGCCCTGGCCCAATCGCCCAAGGTGCGACAGTAAGCTCAACCAACTCTAGCCCACTGATCCGCCCCCGAGAGTTTCGGCAATCCCCTTCCGAAAAGTTGGCAACCAGGGCTTCAATCAATTGGGCTTCCATGAGTGAATCCAAGGGGAGGCCCAGCTATTCCATTTCCCTGTAGCAAAATGGGGGTCCCATTCGGGGCATCCGTTCACCGTGGCCTCCTCGTCGATCTTCTGATAAACGTCGATGGAGAAGGCGGAGAGCACCTGAACCGCGAACGTCGCATGAACATTTCCGTGGATCGGCCTGGGATTCAAACCAGTCAACACAGATTACCCTCCCACCAATTAACATAGAACCTGACAACATGGTCTTCCAGGCTCCGAACGTCAGGTTCCACGTTAATTGGTGGGAGGCTATATGATATACCCATTGTTTACCGAAGGAGTTTCATCATCTAAAGTGGGTCAGCCATTCTTTGAATGGGGGTTGAACCCGTGGATGTGGATGTTTTACAGTAACAGTACATGACACAATTCCCCCTGCGGAAAGGTAAAGGGGATGACTGACTAAACCATGGGTGCGAAGTAAAAACCCAAAAGCATAGTGTTGACCATCACCCATACCAAGGCAAACCTTCAGATGAGCCAGAAAAATGACATTTAAAACCGGCAAAGGAAATCGGGACCGGTCCCTATCACCGGGTGGTTTTGCGGTTCGCCCAGGTTTCCCTTCGCCAGTTGCCGAGACATGGATCGCCGACTAGGATTAAAACTCAACCATAGGAATCCAGAGAACCATAAGAAAAGAGTTGGTGGTTCTATTTCTTTTCATGGCAAATCAGCTCCCTGGAAGGGGGATTCCTTTGGCATAGTCCGGAATGATCCGAAGTTAACATTATTCAAAATCCTAAGACCCGACAAACACACGCGACACGCATAAGGCTTGGGTTGTCGTCCCTATGAAACGTGCACTAAGCGGTTCTAACATGCCTCGTGTCAAAACGAGGGGGCAAGTTCGCGAGTCCGCCAATGTCCCTCCCAAATTGACCATAGACCACTAGGCGTGTTGGCAAAACCTCATGTTCTCGCGAGGATGATTGCGCTTTCCTTTGGTGTGGCTCCTGTTCCTTTTTAGTATGAAGCATCCCTTTTTGTTGGGCGCATGTGGAAATACTTCAAAGAAACCTGAAAGGGTGTTTGAAAAAAGGGGCTCTCTAAAATTGCTGGTTCCTGTTGGTGTCCCTTTAAAAAAACGAAGAAGAAAAAAGAAGGACAAAAACATAACCCCAACACAGAACTGGGAAGCAACTTCTCCATGCGGGGCTGTGCAACGCCGCACCCCCAAAGCCTTCCAAAAACCCCACAGATGTGCTCCGGACTCCAACAAATTATCTGACAGTGACCTCATAGTTTTCCGCTGCTGGGGGAAAGTTGTATGTCTTCAAAATGATTATTTGATTGAGAAAAGTTGTTATTGCTTAAACAAGTTGTTTGTTTTTGTGTAGCCAAGTGCCATATTACCATGTTGGATCTCCTGATCTGACTCCTCCAGTACAAGTGGGACGCTGCGCCGCTCTTTGTGGCCGAGGCGCGTTGTAGGCCAGCAACGGCGAGGCGACGTAGTAGCTCAAGAGAAAGGCCCAAATCAGCACCTACCACTTGGGTCATGGCTCCCTTAAGCAAAAACCTCATGGTCGATATGTTTTCCTGGAAGGACCCTCTTGGGTGGACCATGGCTCAAGTGGACCCTGCTCGATGATGGAAGACCGGACCCCATGAGGGATGAAGTTTGAATCACCACAAAGTCGGTAATTTCAAGCAAGAGAACTGTTGGTGGGGGCAGGGGAGGCAGTCTGATAGAATAGCAAGTTTTGCCAAAACTTAAAATCCCCGCTCCCTGCACATCATCATGCGAACCTGAATCATGTGTACGAGCAAGTCCTGGGCATCATCTTGCAAAGTAGCGTGCTTCCCACTGAATTATTGCGCTCGAATGATCAAGCTGTGAACTGTGTTTAAGGGCCTGGTTGGACATCCCTACACATGAAAGATAAGAGCAACCATAAGTGCAAGTATGATCGAATGGAGTACTGTTGCCACTAAATGGATGCCAGTTTTTCCAAAAGCAATCCCCCAAGTCAGTAGCAGATCGAGTTTGCCCCAGAGGCCTCAAACTCCTAACGCCCAAGGCGAAGAGAGTGCCTTGAAGGACAATGGCTGTGTGGATCCCTCATCCTGGCCACAGGAACCTTCATCGTGGTTGTCTGGCACGCATCATGTACCCCTTGGCGTGATGATTTTGAGGGGACATACACCTTGAGACTCAGAATGAAACTCAAAACCACCACATCTTGTGTGTGTGTGATTCCTTCTTTATCACCAAATACCCTTTATCACATTACCCCTTCCTTGAATTCACCCTTTTGTCACCTTCCCCGTTTATCACCCTATCCCTCAATTTTCGGTGCTTTGGGGATTAGCTTTTGGAATATCCTGACCCCTTTATCCCCAACTCACTTCCTGTGGATTGGTTAGAAAAGTGCAAACTTTCTGTTTACCGACTAAACTGGTAACCCAGTTACCCATACAGTCTCAAGTCCAAGTTCCTTAGGGAGATGAGCCGGAAACATATAACTCCCAAGGACACCGCTCATTGTCCGGTTGCCTTCTTGGCGCTCCAGGGCTCCGCCAGCTCCTGTCCAATCCCAGTGAGAGGGATTGATTGGAAGGCCTCAAACACATCCATCTCTCTTTGGACTTGGTGCTTGGAAACTGAAAGGAATGCCACGGTAAATAATAAGGAGGGCCCGATCTTCAGACACCCTCGTTTCCCAGAAACGAAGAGAAACACCATTGCAAAATCGGAAGGACAATGGCGAAGGGTTGCCTATTTTAGCAGTAGATTGGGTGAGACGTTTTCTCCTCAGATGCTACACACATGAACCTGTCTCGTTGTCATAACCTTTTGAGCGGGGTGGTCTCAGGGAATGAGTTGGAACCCCGAACCGAACCATTCCTGAGGCCCGGCAAAAGGCAACGCCCTGGAAAAAAGGCTATGGTATGTCAAATCGAGGGTTGCCTTTGGATCATTTCCCCTTAAGCACCCAGCTCCCCAGGCCAACTCAAAGTCCGCTCCACGCACGCCACTGCGATGTCGTCATTCCAGTCTCCCAACGTCCAAACCTCAGACTCGAAATCTTGCCTGCGGAGCCCAGTTTTTTACCCGAGGTCCCAAAGTCCAACTCATTTGATTGACAACTCCATTTCCGGAAGGGACCTCCCACAGACGTGAAAGTGTTCGGGCCACTGGCAAAACCCCAAAACACAGGAACCCATTGCTTTTGAGCGCAACAAGTCCAGGTCCCCAACACGGCTTTCCCAACGCCGACCCCTTGAGCCGATCTCGACCCCAAAGCTTGAGCTTGCTTCGGGGCGCTGTTGGAACCACGCCACGTGCTTCCGGCGTTTTGGGCTCCGGCAAACAAGGTCACCATGCCCATGGGCACGTCGTTGAAGTTGAAGACCTGCACAGAGCTCCGGGCATGAAAGTCCTTGAAAGGATAGGGATGGTGTCCAACAAACTGGCCTGTTTCCCCGCACAAATTGACATGGAACCGTCTGGGTACCCCGAAAGCTGATTCCTCGTGTTTAGAATCCCTGTTAATCTGCAGGGAAGTATTTGGTGCCCCATGAACAAAACCGGAATGCTATGAGGCTTCAACAAAAAGAGTTTGGGTCCGATCAATTTGGGACCAAACGGGGGCCCGAATCGATTTTCCGTTTGCAAGCTGGGGGCCCAGAAAAGTGACCAAAAAATCAATGCGGCGCCCCCTTTTGAACAAGCTTGCGGTTCCCGTCTGTGACAAATCGCAAATTGTCTAATCAACCGCTCTCTGCGGCTGCTCTCGGGGGCTTGTGGCAGCTGGTTGAGTCACGCTGGATGATCACTTTGAAGGGAAGATGCCCAGACATACCTGTGGAAAGACCGGAAGAAAAAAAAAATCCACAGGGCACTGGACCTACAGTCACCCCGTGCTCCCCCAATTCCATGATAGTGATACCGTTTAGCGGTTTGTCAACATGACTCGGGGATCTCGAGAACAAGATCTCCAACTCATGGAGTATCACAATCCCCAGACCTTCAGTGAAATCGCCCGTTTTGACCCCCCCCCCCCCCCGCAAAAAAAAACAAAGAAGAGGGAAGGTTAAACAAACAAAACAAATCGGTGGTTCCCGACAACATCCCAAGTTCGAGGGCATCTGAAATCATTGGCCCAGACAAACCCAAACCCATCCCTTAGATCTCCGAAGCAAAAGGAGAAACAAAAAAAGCACCCAACACACAACTCGCACCCCAAAAGGACACCCCACGGAAAACCCCCTGGCCTGGTAATTGCTGCTGAAGTAGCCCAAATCTTTGCCCGCCAACCTCGGGTTGGACTCCACCAGCTGCCCCCCGAAGAGCTGCACCTCGCGGATGTTTTTCGCGGCGAACAGGGCGCGGGTGGGGGGGGAGGGGGGGGTCGAGTCGTCCTTTGGTCGCCGGTGTTTCGCGCAACGAAAACGGGTCCCAAGGAAAAAATGGGCGGGCATTTGCGGATGGCTGTTCTTTTCGGGGGTGTGTTCAGGAGTCTGAGGGCTCACGGAGCTGAGAGGCGCTCCTGGATTGGCCAAACAAAGTCCAAACTCGGTGTGAAGTGAGTTGTTCAGGCAGGAATAGAGGATCCCGACAGGAGAAAAAAAAGAGCGGCATTCAACGTTCCAGTTGTTGGACGGGTGGATGGCTTGCCCTTGAGAAGAAGGGCTATTGGAAAACGAGTTCCTGAAAAGGGACACCAAGAGAAGAGGGCAAAAACAGGTCAACCACAATCTCAGCCCAAAAGCATATTCCAACCCCAATTCCATTCTCCTGTGGAAAGGTAACTAATGGAGCCGACCCTTAAAAGCCAAATGGGAAATGGCTTTCCTCTAGCGAAACGCAGATCTGGGAACTGCGTTCTTGGGCTCCCTGACGCCAGCTGAGGCCCAAAGCAGGACCACCAAGAGATTCAGCATCAGCACCTCAAGTTTGAATCCTCAGATTGTCTCTCGGTGGTTTGGAGTCTGGAGCCCGGTGCTCTAGTTTGGTGTTCTACATGGGGTAGTTTCCCATTTACCCTCAACAAGAACCAGGGTTCAAATCCCCCAACCACCAATCCAAACAACCAATTGGGGGGGGCCTCTTGTGCGGGCTGAGAAACTGATCGCAACACGGAACCAAATCAAAAGGCGGGCTGAATATCCCTGCCAAGCTCAGCTGCTAGCTGAATATCCCTGCCAAGCTCAGCGAATGCATCCTCGACCAGGACCGCGGGTTTTCATGAGGACACATTGGGGCCCCATGCCAGCGGGTTCACCCACCGCCCTTGTGCTGCGAAAAGCCCATATTCTCGGAGGACATGGCAACGAAAACCAGAAGTTTGGAGTTCCCACTCGAACGATTCGGCACCTCTCGGCAGGTCGCAAGCAGCCGCGTCACCTCAAGGTCTTGGTTTCAGCGGAGCCGGAATCGGGTTCGTCTGGCCCAAACTGCTTTGAGCTTTGTTTTTATACCAAAAGATATGCCGAACAATATCCCCCCGCAAAAAAAAGAAAAAAGAAAATTGAAAATGGTGGACCGCAAAAATGGTTGTCCTTTGGGTCATGTCCGACAACTTGTGAGAGGGTTCCAAAAATCAACATCTCTTGGGCGCTGCTTAGTGCCGTCTGCATGGGGACTTGGGTCTATGTTGTCAAACCCTGAAGCTCCCACTGGTGTTGGGGTCCTGAAAAAGCATGTTGTTTGAAGGGTTCTCCATTGGAGGGTACTGGTGTGCATAGGGGTCATGATCCTTCGCAAAACTGAAACACAATGTACCAAAAAGGCCCCTGTGCTCCAGTGCGTGTCGCAATCGCAGTCCCAAATCCCCAGAGCACGGCAAAAAAAACGGGGACCGCTTAAGAAGATTCACTTTCAATTGGCAACGAAAGCCCAAGGGGAAATCTTAATGCTGCCAGTTCGCTGCAAAGGGGTGGGCCTTTCTGGGCCCTTTTCGACTCCCTAGCCACCAGGACGAAAAGAGTGCCCAGCATCTTTGCAGCGTCAGAACGGGGTTGTGGCGTACTGTAAGACCATATGTATAGTCATGATTACACTCAACTAGTAGTGTTTATTTAGCCCCTTGTGCTTGGTTTAATTCCACAGCGCAAGGGCATAGGAGCGGATGCTTCCGAACAATTGCGTCAAAGCGTTCGGTGTTCTTTTAAAAGGGGTACCCTCAAAAAGACACACCCCAAATGCTTCCTGGGTTGGCTCTAGCTTGCTCAATGATTTCGGCCGGTCAGGCACATGAAGTGAGCACATCTACGGCTTTGCGGCTTTGCCAAGGGTTGCTCAAGCGGTGCTCTGCCCCCAAATTGGCGGCCCACCTTGGGAAACCCTTCTGCTAAAAAGCTGGCTTAAAGCATGGCCAGAGTGTATCGCGCCCAAGGGCCCATCCATAATCCCTCTGTGTTGGTGCATGCACACATTGGCACACACGTATACAAATGTAGTATACAAACGTAGTGTAATCCTTTCCTCACTCCACCGGGCAGCTCACCCAGCGACCGGCCGTTTTCGCGCGGGCCACCGCGCCACGAGGCAGGTCCGCTGGTAGAAGCGGAGGTGCTTCATGGCTTTCACCACCCGCAGCAACCGCAGCAACTGGGATCAAGCGGCTTCCCCAAACCACGGCGGGGTCCGCATTCCACCAAAGTCCAATCCTTGATTCATCCCCTTTAAGGGAGACGGGGTTGTGTCCCCAGGAAAAATGGAACCTGCAACATCAACAACGATCAACAAGCCCGAAGCCTCAACTAAGGATTGGATCCCAATGCCAAAAGAACCTGCATTGTGACTTGGGGGGAATCGCTCGAAACCCATAGGCAACTCCATGAGATAGAGCTGATGGCCGAAAAAAAGCTCCCAATGAGCCAGCTGGGCGTGACGGCTTCGACGGCACCACGGGCCAAGAGGCCAGAAATTTGACAAAACCTCATTTTCAGAGGAATATGGGGCTGTGGGCTTTTTGGAGGATACCCTTTCGACCTTGGTGAAAGGGAAACCAAGGGGTTGGGGGTCCCCCTATTTTGACACGCATAAACCGAGAACGGTGAAGCCATACTTTTTGGACTCCACCAATATCAGTCTAGCCAGGGAGTCCAATCAGTTTTGACACCTTCCCCAAGTGCTTTGAATTGGGAGACATTCCGTGTAGCGTGAAACAAGCCTTCACGAGCAAACGCGTGGGCGGGTCAATCGGGGCTTACCAGTCATTTAGCTGACTCCTGCACCGTCTAAGTCGACCCTGGAGTGGCAGAAATCTAGATTCCCGTGTGATCAACCCTCGCCGACATGAAGTTTTTTCCCCTGCCCACCCCCCCCTCCGCCCGGTTCCATTCAAAGTTGAGGGAGTGCGGCCATCTCTGTAGTTTCGAGTGCATAGATACCATGAGCCCGGATTGGATGGCCAACAACACATGTAGCGTTTTACATGGCTTCGGACCCAGAGGTAGGGTTGCACGGTTGCACCCTCATACGTGATGAGTCCTTGACCAAGCAAGACGCATCATATCAGTTCTTGTGCATCTCTGGAACTATGCACTTATGCAACTCTGCAGTTCTGCGGGCGATCTGAGCCATCCAACTGGTTGAACTCGGTCGCATGCCTGCTTGGTGTCATACAGTCTTCGCGCCACTTGGGCTTTGCAGAACATCTGTCTCAACATGTGATGGGTTCCCTTGGGCTTACACCCCAAACAGGGCACGTTCCAGAAAAAGACACGATGTGAAAAGAGGGTGCCTTGGAAAGGACACCAAAAGAAATAGTGTGCTACTGGGTCGATTTGAGAAACTCTTGCTGGCCTGTCAACAACAGTGAGTCACTATACAGTCAACGGTTCAAGTACCACAGTTGGGGATTGTCTTGGAGGTTCAGTTTGCCACTGATTGCGACCCGGATTGCCGAAAGGAGACTATGTCGCACCAGGAAAAGCGGAAGCATCTTGGGACATGTCTGTGATTTCGACACATGGCTCAACCTTGGAGCAATTCAGGTCAGGCGCATTGGCATTGCGCACGATCTGCACCGAGAGGTTTTGGAGCGCCAAAAAGCAAAGTCCCACCTCAACCGTGCACTAGGGGGGCGCGGGGTTTGGGACCTGTCTTTTTTTTGTTCTCTGACGAAGCTGTCGCTTGACTTCCCACCTTTGCCTTTCGACGCATGGGCCCAAAACCAGAAAACCAGGCCTGGGGTTTGACTTAGATCTGGGAAGTGGTTGAGTGCTTGGCAAACCCCGGTAGAAACAATTAGCACCGAAGTGGGGTTTCGTGCCCACCCAATAACTTTCACTGCGATTCCCAATGAGTCCATTACAATGACATCCTCATTGATTCCCCTCATGGTGGTGTTTGTTGGGGGCTTCAAGTAAACTCGGCTCGACATCTTCGGACTCCGAAAAAAAATGAAGAAATTATGAGATCCGTCAAAACATCCGACCCTCTCCGTGGTTTCAGGAGTCCTCAAGGCCACGACGCTGGCAAGGACCATGCTCGTGATGAAGTCGAACCTGCCGGAAAGCTCCGTACGTGGCTGGCTTCCGGTCAAGATCCCGAAGTCTCCAAACCATAGGCTTTGAAACAAAGCATAGAACCCTTAGATCTAGAAAACGGGGTGGGATGCGATTTGAGTGGTTTTCTCCAGAAATTGCCCCCTGGTACTCTTTTCGCACTTGTTTCATGCTCTCAAGGGGCATTAAAAAAGAGTCGGCACCCAAATCTCTGGATTCCTGCTGCAGGTTAACGACAAATCAGCACGAGCAATTGTCTCATCAAAACACAAGCACGTTGTCAGGGTTCTCTCGGGAATTCCAACCCAAATTCCCAAGCGCCCAAAGGACCAAGTCAAATTGTGAAAGGGGGATGTTTGAAAACCACCCTTTAAGGCGGGATATTGGGACCGAGGCCTGTTCGTGCCCTCAAAGTGCCTCAAATCCAGAAGCCCTTCCCCTCCACCTTCCCATAGGCGGCTTTTATTTTCATTTTCTGGGGGGCCTCTTCAAGGGTCCCAAAAACAGGGCGATTGAAAAACACGAAGAGGGTAGTTGCGGGGAGTTGGGCAAGGAGACTGCTCGATCCGCCGCCTGTTGTCCACCTCGTGCCAATACTCCGCCACAGACCAGTGACTGAGCTTCAGAAGCGCCTCAGGCCCGCCAGTTGTTGGCCTTTTGACCATTTCCCGTTTTGGTCGCAAAGTTGAAACCCCCGTTTCCCGAGCTTTCTACGCATTTCGGCACCAATTGCTTTGGTTGGTTCAAACTTGAAGTTGGAACCCCGCTTTTTGAAAAGGCCTTCTACACATTCCAAGACATATTTCGCGGTTCGGTTGCAACTCTTGTTGGACCCCTTGTCCAAAGAAGAACTTGTTTGCTTCTATTCCAAGAGCGGGACCAACGACACATTGCATGAACAGGAGAGGGCCGCCACACTTGCAAGAAGCACACTTGTACACACGTGCACAATGGTAGGCATCGCACGGCGAAGACCAACGTGTCGTAACACGCACGCTGGCCCGGGAGGCGGGGGGGGGAGGGGGAAGGGGGCGGGGCTGGGCTTCCTTTCGCGTTGGTCACATACATACACACCAACACACACTGTCGGCTGGCATCGCGAAGCAGCCTGAGATGTCATTCGAAGCGCGGCAACCCCCTCCTATTGACCCAACATGTTGTTGAACCAACGTCCAAAGGCGGCTGGTCAAAAATCAAAGGACAGTGTTTTTCCATGTTCACCCGCAACTGCTTAAATTAACAAGCAGACAATACAATCCGCGCAATGTTTGCACTGTTTTTGGCCAGGGAAATGGTCAAGGTTGGCTTCCCTTTCCCTCAAAGGGAACCCTAAGTAGCAAGCTAGACACATCCCATCGTCGAGTTGCTGGGCTTCCTCTAAAGCGCCATGCGAAAACGACACGGCACGCGGACGGCTCGAAGGCGTGAGGTTCTGTAGCCCTGTGGCCCTAAGGCCCTGGCCTCGAGAACGTAAACGAAGGAGAAGAACAGGTCCACTTGTTTCAGGAAGGGAGGCTCCTGCTCGGAACCGCAAATGCTTGCCTGGGAGAAATAACAGGTTATCCGGCACACCAGTTGAATCAAGCCCTGGCAATCACTGAAGCATCCGCTTCGCAAGGAACATGCTGCCATGTGGTCGCGGATTCAATCCACGTTGGGCTGTCCTCCAAGTCGTTCAAGTCAATGAAAGATTCCGCCAGGACCCACAGCACATTGGCAGCAAGGACGCAGTTCATGGCCTCAGCTAAGCGGAGCTGCATGCGGGGCTTGTCATGCATCCGGCACCATCAAAAGTCGAAACTCTAGAAATCATTGATCTCCTCTGGGGGCCCCGGTCACCATGCAGAAGACGTCCACCAGCCAAAATACTGAACGCACATGGAAAAATATGTTCCCTGTCCGACCATAGACTACTGCGCTGTATAGTTCAAGCGAACTGTTATTACGTGATGCAAGCCAGCAAGGGGCGCTTGGTAGAACCCAAGGTCCCCTGAAACATGCAGCAGTCTCCCACCACCCTCTACCTTTTCGCCCACAAATATGGAACCCACCAAAGGAAGTTGTCGAAGACCAACCCCCGCAGTCAGGTTCCATTAGAAAGTGGCTCTTGTCTCCCCTGACCCCCCCCCCCACCCACAGAGGAGCTGGCAACGTCCACCGCTGAGCCAGGGTATCTGTCAGCATAGCCTGCTCTCTGACAAAGGTCAGGGGTATCCCTATTGTTTTCAGTTCTCCCTCCCGCCCCCAAAAAAAGGAGTGAGGATTTGTCTTTGCCCTTTAAATCACCCCATTAAAGGGTACCCCTCAAACAATTTTGGTCCCAGCAACTGCAATTTTGGGAATACCAGCTGGGGACATTGGCTAGGCTTCTGCACTTCTGCACTCCAAATCCAGATGTGAATGAACACACACACACACACGTTTCTTCATAGAAATCTCCGTTTTGGACATCACTCGTGTTGGTCAAACGACCTGGGACAAATGGCTTGCGATGCCGATGTGACTAAGTGCCACGGTCATGTTTGCTTGCACGAAAGGAACTTTTTTAAAGGAGCATCGTTTTAAGGGGACCCGAATCCAAGTTTAAAGGCAAATTGCGTTACGTTACGCCCAGCAAAGTGAGCCACAAGCCCTGTGCTTGCCCACTCTTGCAGCCTTACCTGAACCGCACGCCCTTGAGAAGATTGTACTTCTTCGTTGAGCACCAAACTTGCCTGCACCTTCTGTGTCGGGCGGTGTCTTGTTTATGGATGTTCGTGTTTTTGGAGTGTTGTTCTCAAGTGTGCTTGCTTTTTCTGTTCCCAAATGCCTTGGTTCATTGCAGACACTGTGCACAAGGCTTGCCGACTTTGGCCAAACATTGACTGCGCTGTTGAAGATCAATCCTTCAGAAAGCAATGTCAGCATTCCTATCTGGTGTCTTGTTGATCATCCTATCACGCTCATGGCCAGCATATGTCAAGCCTGCTTTTAGATTTGTTTGCGTTTCTTACAGTACATGTGGAGTCCCCGCAGCACAGTCCCTCTCCCGCACCCTGGTATGGGTATGGAAGACTGCGGGCGGCATGGTGTTGAAGGGTAATCAAACAAAAACCAGCCACCTGGAGAGAGTCTCTGATTGTGGTTCCTTTTTGTTTCAGCAATGCTTCTTTGGATCAGTTTCAAGGGAAATCAAGGGTAAACTGCAATTGTTCGAGGCTCCAAATCCCATTTCGACATAAACCCAAATGTCCCCTTCAAACATTACCATTGCCAAAAAACCGGGGAAAAAACCGGCCACTAGCAAAGGGCGGACATTTAAGCCGTTTCGTTGGAAGCTTCTGTCCAAACAAAGTGCAATGAGCCATGGCACCTAATCTCCTGTTCAACACATGCCCGCTATGCAAGCGTGTGGTTGCTATCACCCACCCAACCCAATGGCCACACAACGACGGCCCAGGCGGGCGCCTAGGTTTGCTCCGGTGCGGCCGTTCTCCATGATCGACACCATGAACCTGAAGCGGAAAAACAAAAGAAGCACAACCAACAACCAGCCAGCATTGTGTGGGCGTTTGTTTTTGGTTCAAGATGTCCAACAGGCGAACAATGTGTCCTGACACAAATAAAACTCTTCCCGGAAGGAAGACCCCTAGTAAGGGACCGTCATGGGTGAGCTCCTGTTACACCCGGCTAAGCTTGTTGTGTGACCCGACCCGTCAGAAAGCCAGCTTCAGCCAAAGTACTCCAAAGACCCGCGGCACAAGGGTCGAAACTTGGCTAATGAAAAGAATTGCTCACGGTAGCAAGCGCCTGTATTTCAGGTGGAGCCCAACACCCAAAACCCCCCCTTCAAGTACCAGTCCGAAAGTCCTGAAAATCCTGGATCTTGTAGGAAGAACAAATGACACAAGAATACTGTGTTTTCTTGTTTTTCTCTGTGAATAGACAAACCTTCTTCGCACCAGTTGGCAGGTGGTTTGTCCCAGCTTTCATAGGGGTTCATCCAGCTGATACAGCACTTCAGTATGATTTAAACAAGGTGAGGTAAATTATGTTCTCCAATAAATCACACTCAGAACAAGCTGAGGTTCTTAGGTAAATTGTACTAATCATCCTGCTGTAATGTACTTGAAACACACATCAGCGCATCGAAAATACGCTGACTTGCTAGTGGAAATGATAGGCCTGCAGGAACTATCAATTTATAACCTAATTCTCAATCACTGAGAAAGTGGGAATTTTCGCCGCAGGGCTGCCCTGTACAAAATGGCTGCAGCTCCCAACATTTTGCCTCAGTTTGTCCTCGCGCGATTCCTACTTATTCCTAAGGTTTACTTTGGTTTATTCTATTGATTTTAACTTCAAGTATACTAAGTATACTAAGCCATACTCCTTTGGGTCAAATCTTTTGACTGGTGTCCTAGTGGATTGCCAAGCCCCGAATCACATGGAGCTGGAAGCATCCAGAGAAACGCTACAGGTAACCCCTACCCTTCCCTGGGCCGTCCTGGCCCATGCAGCTTGACTTGGGGTTTTCATGTTGCCTATCGGAGTCACAAGCAAACCCTGGACGCAGGGCAAAGAAACAGAAGGCGGATATCTGCGCCTATGCATGGTTGAGGCTGTCCTTCAAGGACCTTCACTAACACGATGTTTGGTCCGTGGCTCATTAGAGCTACTATCTGTGTAGCTTCTGGGATACTATATTCCCCCTCCTGTGCCTGCTTGTTCATGGTGTGCTTTATGAAAGCTGGTGTTCAAACAAACACGTTATTTGGAGTAGGGGGTTTGTCTCTACCACTCTTGAGAGCGGCTCACTAACTCAACGGCGAACATCCCCAGGCCCGGGGGGGACATGCGTGAACACTTGAATATGCTTTCCGCTGCAAAAGGCCCATCAGAAAACTACGCTGGAGCCAGTTTCATTTGAACCCACCTTCCGGTTGTTCGGGTGTTTGGCCCAAAGCAACTCGGTACCAACACGCCAAACTGGGGATGCGGGATCTCTTTTCGAACGATCTAACATTCGCTTCACGAAATCTGGACCAGACTCAATCGCATTTTGGGTTCGGGGAACAAGCTAAGGTCACAAAGACAGGTTTCCGACATGATTTTGTCCCTTGAATCAAAACAAAAGATCACCCCCACCCAAAAGAAACTAACTTTGCATTGGCGCTGTACGATGTGTAACCCGACCCAAAGCGGAAATAGAGCTGGAGCCCTGAAACCCCCACCCAAAAACCTGCGGGGCACAAAGACGCACAAAAACAACAGAAAAACTGAGTGAGGTACCACACCCAAAAACCTGGTGGGCTGGGGGGGAACCACCACCACCAGCCCAAAACGAACCATTTCCGGGGCTTCGGGCTGGTCGAAGGTGGGGCCTGCCAGGTGTCGCAGCGTGGAGTCCCTCTCGGTGATCCGAAACTCGAACCTGCGAGGAGAGGGCCCCGACATGCACGCAGGCCATGTGTAGAGGAATAATGTCTTTTTTCGATGCTCGGGGACCCTTTTTGGGGTGGCAAAGCTCATCTAGTGCTCAATTCATGTGCCTGAAGCAAACCTGAATGTCTCTTCGTTGAGGCTCGGTACTTTTTTTGGGCTTTGTTTTTTTCCAAACGAAACCAAAGGGACCACCACCTACTTTTAGGGTCCACCTACTTTGATACACACCCAAACTGAGTTGTAGATCTAAAAGACCAGGACATTCTACCGGAAATCACTGGTGTTTAGTGGGTACTTGAAAATCCAATTTCCTGTAGGACACCCGTTTTCGCTTGTTTCTATGAGAGCGATATGGTAGTTTCTCAGAACTGCCCATAAATAATTGCGTGCTCGTTGCATATGCCGAAAATGGGCCGGGTAGGTGTCCTTTCAACCAAAACCACGGAGGGGGGGATCCTGCAACCGAATGTGATATCCCAAACAAAACTCAGATCCGTTCACATTGCGACCTACCTTGGGCCCGGCTTTTCTTTGCTTTCCATTTGAAACACCACCAAAAGGGTCATTGCCATGGATCCCGCAACGTGGTCCCTTTGAGAGGGAAATGGCCTTCCACCACCCTTCAAACACGTTCAGATGGAAAACAAAAAGGGGGGGAATTCCTAACACAGTGATTGTTTGGCTTCCACGTTCATCTGTAGGGGGGTCTATCAACTTTGTTGGGTTTGAAGGGAAGCAAGTTGCACATGACTGCCGTTTAAAGGAGAGGCGCAACCCCTCCGAAAAACCCCTCCCGCCAGGGTTTGGGGTTAAAGCCGCCGGTTCCTCGCCGAATGGACGCCGAGACACTGCAGCACGTCGCACATGTCCTGCGAGAGCTTGGCGTTTGAAATGTGACCGCTTGACTTCGCTTGCCATGCGATCCCCTCCCCTCCCCCAGGTGCTCCAGGATTAAGGCGGGATGATTAGGGCGGACCCTGCTTGGGCTGGAAAAAAGGGGCCCAAGTTTGGATTCACCTCCCACAACTTGTTTGTAGCTTCCATGGGGGTAACCCTCTGTTTTTGCTGGGAAACTCACAAATGAAACCCACACGAAGTGGGTTTCTTCGGGAAAGCGATCGAAGGACCCGAAGGGACTGGGAGCTGTCACACCCCATGCCCTTTTGCCTCCCTCGGAAGTCCCTGGGAAAACTGCACCCCACAAAGATGAGATGAGACGCCCAATCGTCATGTACCCCCTTTCAGCCTTTCAGCCTTTCAGCCTTTCAGCCTTTCAGCGGTCCCAAGAAAAAAACACGCGGCGGGAGCCTGGCCTGGAACTCGGCCTTGTCCAGCACCCCGTTGGCATCGTCGTCCAACGCCCGGAACAAGACACGCAAGAACTCCTGCGCCCGACGAAGAAAAGTCGGAGAATCGTACGGTGGGGGGCTGGGGTAGCACTTGCATCGTCAGCAACATCTAAGTGAAACGAGTGTACCCATGCGATTTGATTCAAAATGGCTTCATGCCACACATCATAAAAGACAGCATGACCATGACCCTAAATAGCTTTCCCCACTGGCACACTGCTTGCGGCGCGAGATCATGGCTTGCGGGGCGTGTAACCACAAGGACCCAGTAAGTGTTTTTCAGGCGTGTGCCAATGCGATTGGCCACCCAAAATGCCTCAACATCACCAACACAAACCGCGATCGAGGCAAGGTGTTTTCCATGTGTGCCAGTGCGTTCGTCCTACCCAAAAGACCTCAACTTGATCAATGAAAAAATCTCAGGGGACCACGTTCAGCATGTATTTCTCTACAGAAAAGACCTCAATATCACGCAGCAATTGTCTCTTGAAAACATGCTAAACCAAACGCCACTGGCACACGGAGTTGCAACGACCCTACCGGATGCGTTTCGTGTGCGTATTACACGAAAAACATGCTGCCAAAACCAAACGCAACGACTTTCACAGGTGAGAGTATATACCCGCAGTCCTTCCAGTTGGACGTCTCGTTTTTGGACGAGACACCCCGAAAATGGTACATGTCGGGCTCCTAGGACACCCATTTCCTAAACACCCAAACACCAGCTTTAGAGGATCCCTTTGTAAGGTGTGTGGTTTTTGGACACATCCTTCAAGGAAGCCTCCATAAGCGGAGTCTGTTGGCAGGCCCCTGAGGTTTGGGACAAAATCAAAATCGGGGGTTCATCCATTCCCAACATAAGCCGTTCGAGCCCCCAAAAGCTCACCTTGTTGAGAAGGCCACGCACTCCGAGACGGTGAGCCAAGGCATTCCTTCGGTTTGTGGAACAAAAAAATGGCAAGATGAGGTGTGGGTCAAAAATAGGTACCCCAAACCCTTTAAAACCACCAGGAAAAATGGAAAGCATCTTCTAAAACCCAAGCGGAAGCTTAAAGATGTCAGATCCTTGCGTCGATTCGCGCTTCAAAACGGACTCAGCGAGCTCCTTGCTGACAGTGATCTCCAGCAGCTGCTTCAGGCAATCCACGAGGCTCTCAAAATCCTGGAACCTTCGATCGGCGTCCATCGTCCGTATGGACGTGCTTGTGGGTGTGCGTGTGTTGCCCTGTTTGGAGTGGGTTCTCCTTGCGAAACCGAAAGGAGGACCACAGCCAGATTCGGGGTCACCCTTTGTTGACACATGCGCACAGTTTCCCTAGCTAGACACAAGCCCACGTAACGCGTGGGTGCGACTTTCAACCGGGGACGTTTTGGTGCACGAAGGAGTCTAGTGTCCGCCAACCACTTTTAAGGTGGTTCCCAACAGCCCCAAGCCATGAGACACCAAAAATGAACCCCTACTTTATTGGTTAACTACCCGCTAGTCATGCCTGAATAAGGGAAAGCCATGGTTGTAGAAAATCACACGACATCTCTGATACCAAAGTAGGATTCCCATCTCCATCACTTTCAAGAGGGCACAAGTTTTGCGCGTGGACTCGCTCCGCCAAGATGGGAAACCCCACTGTTGTTCCCCAAATATTGCAAGACTGATTGTAGAAACTTGGAAAATAGAACTGAATGTGCTCGTCCAACCTTCAGGGGGGCCTCCAAAATGGTTGTCGTCATTTGTCCACAAAAATAAACACCAAAAACTCAACTTTCACAAATTCCCTATATATCCTTGCTGTTTGTTGATTTTGTTGAAGGAAGCAGCCTGTGCATTGCTTTAACTCAGGGGAAATGTTAGCCGGGCGCCCCCGTCCCCGCTTGGGAAACACACCCATTGCAATGCGTCTACCGCGGTGTTGGCCTTTCAAACCAACTAAGCCAACTGTGAGGGCCTCGTCCTTGAACATCATCTTGCATTTCAGTACGCGTCAGAGTTACTGCGGAAAAAAGCTCGCGCCACGCTTGTCCGGGTATTTTCAAACCAAACCTCCCCGCCCACCAAAATCGTCCCGCCTCACCACGGTCTCAGACCCATGCTTGGGCGAGGGCGACCCACTCTTCCTTGACATCTCGAGGGTCGATTTGCCATTTTTCAGACGTCGCCTGTAGGACCCAAAAAATCGGGCAAGCCGCCAAATGGCCCCCAACATAGGTGGAAGTGGTTTGTTTTGCGGAGGTACATACACTGGTGAACTACCTCAGCATGTTGCCAAATCACAACGTGTTCGATTCTGGTTCAAGATTGCGAAAAACCTTACAATGCAAAGTAGCATCAAAAAAGGCCCTGAAGCAAATGGCGAATCGTTTGAGGGTACCTTCTTGGCATGTGGTTTGTGTGACAACCGAAAACCCAAACAGGCTTTGCCACCCTTTCTAGGGTGTTACCCCAACCCCCATGCTGACCCCGATTTTTGAGGGTAGAATCTGGCGGGCTCGCAGGGCTTCCCCGAAAGTGATCCTCAGTCCACATTTAAAAGCATAGCAAGCAGCAGGAAGTCAGGAGCACCCAAACACACAAAAACACACATATGAGCGAAGCAAACATAACGATAGTAAATACTCTACATTGTTCCCGAGAATGGGGGAGGGGGTCCGTCCCACTAATGGTCGAAATGTCGTGCTAGCCGACCCTTTAAAACCCTCTAAGGCAGAGATTGCGGACAAACACTGAGTGTGCCATTGGTGGGTAATGCTGTCTGAAAGGCATGGAAAAAGGGCTTAAATCTGGATTTTACCTTTTTTACCCAGTGCTAGGCCCTTTTCAGCGTGACGAACATTCGTGGACATCGAATCACCCCTCAGGTCAGGTGTTCAGGGGTATCTCCTTGCTTAAGCATGTTGAAACCCCTATTGTTCAAACCACCTCCTCTTGGTTTCTTTCTTAAGGGACCAGGGGCCGGTTGTGTGGACAATTCTTGCCATGCCCTGCATGGTGGTTGGCAACTGAACACCCCGAATTGTCGAGTGTACCACTCGAGCTGGGCCCCCCCAATTTCCTGAGCCAAACGTTTTGCCCATATCCTATCAGAGTCTTCGCTTTGCCTGCGTCATTTAACGTCGCCCCAAAAGAAGGAAAAAACTATCGCCCCAAACTTCGGAGTCGGCTTTTCAACCAAAAGGGCGCCTCACCCCTTTTGCACCTCGCCCCTGCCGAGGCCATGGAATCCCTGCTTGGCACCAAAACAGGCGAAGCGTCAGGTGCTCAAAACTGGACTAGACTTGCCGCCAAGTTAGGGGGAACCCGAAAGAATGTTGTTGCTCCGGTCCAAAACTTTTCTGGTGCCCAAAACTTTGGCACGCCTTTTTGATGCTTTGGAAACCAGGTTCATTTGCAGGGCTCTTCTTCATGCGTTTCATTTGGGGATTCATGTCCACGGAAAAATGCGCAGCGGTTCCTCATTGCAAAATGGGGATTCGGACCCCCCCCTCCCCATTTGGGTTTGTGGCGTCCCTGTAAGTACCAGATTTGGGGGTCTCCCGACACAAAGCAAACCCATATAGGTGTTGCTCAAAACTAAGGGTTTTATCCACGGATTGAATGTCCCCAATTTTGAGCAGCCGCATGGGTCAAAAACACTAAATGGAAACAAGGACCAAGACCTGCAGTTGTCTGGCGGTGTAATGTTGACCAAGACCCTTCTGCGCCACCTCTTCCCCTTTTCATCAGATCCGCCGACAACAGGCGCATAAGAAATACTCCTTACCCCTTTTTCAGGGGCACGGTTTCAGACTATTGCGGGGGCTGGCCACGTACCACGCGGTGATTCCAAGACGTTCTTCTAAATCCTTTCTTTTGGGGGCTGTGGGGGAAACAGTTGCAGTTCGGGGCATGCAACCTGCTCCGCAGGAGCTGCCACACACGTGAAAGGCCATCGCTATGAAGCTCCTTGATCAAGTGTTCAACAGCAACCGCAAAGGGCTCGCCCGAACGGGCTGCCATCATTGGCACTTGCTCTGTTTGAGTTTGCTTCCGATGGCACTCATGGCGCGCACATAATCTCCTGCGCTACAGGTCGTGCAGTGCGGGGTGTTTGATTCCCCCGGGTCCGTTGCTGGATCCTTGGCATCTCCTGGGCAACATCGCCAGCATCACCTGCATCATCCGCATCAGCGCCTGCCAAGGATGCGGATGATGCAAGTATTGCTGGGGATGTTGCCCATGCTGTTGAAGGAAAATCTGGAAATGAAGGAAAATGCATGGAAATGAAGGACATGAAGTGAAATGAAAGAAAAGGAACAAAAGCAAACATACAGGGACATGAGCCGAAGTGAAGGAAAGTGAAGGGAAATGAAGATCTTTGGGGGAAAGGGGGGAAAAAGATTTTAGGGGGAACTGGGGAGATCGGAGGGAGGGGAAAGGGAAAGATCTTAGGGGGGGAGAGTGCCGGACAGATCGTAGGGGACAAAGGCCTTAGGGGGGAAAGGAGGGAAAGGATCTGGCAAAAAAGGCCTTAGGGGGAAAGGGGCAGAAAAGGATCTCAACAGGGAAAGGGTGGGAAAGATCTTATTAGGGAGGAAAAGGGAGAAGATCTCGGGGGGGGGGGAAGGCCTGGGGGGGGAAAGGGGGAAAGGGGACAATTCCAAAGGGACGCAAACAAGAAACGTCGGCGGCCTGAGCCGGACGCGTTAAAATATCCAAGTCAGAGGAGTTGCGGGTATGACTGAGGGGCTGAGCCCCACAAATCGGTATAGCCTATTGATGGGCAAGAGACAGTACGGCAACGGGTGGCCCGACTACAGGGTACATCCAACAAACAGTCAAATGCGCACCCGTCCATCACAGCCTCCAAGCGAAGAGCCATGAGAACCACTAGTGCCAAGACTCACACACAACACCATGCCAACCAAATGAACCACAGAGGCGCGGCATCCATCACATTCAATGCTCCTCGTTCTGCGCAAAGACGAAGCTAGCTTGGTTCACGCCCCCGGCTTCTACATCTCTTCGTAACCAGCACGCAGGCAAACCAGAGGCCAGATGCAAAGATACCATGCGCAAGACGCGGCGCAGCATCAATGCCATGATCCCAACTGCCTCCATGGTCCAGGGAATCACGCTCGTAAGCAGCTTCCGTCCACTGCTTGATGTACTGCTTGATCGCTACAGGCATGTGCCACTCCGGCAGCAATGGCAAGTCCGGCAGCGTGCCAAAGGACTTCGCTGTTGAGCATACGCAGCTGTCGGCTCCTGCGCCCACCGACTGCACTGTATCTGCGATACACATTTGAACACCTGACGAGCACCACCATAACCATCTCCGTGACTATGTTGATGAAGGCCATGGCAACCGCTCGAGATCGGCTGACACAGCCCTGCCGGCTAGTAGGCTCTCGAGCCAGGGCTGATCAAAACTCCTTGCACGGCCTGGGATCATGGTTTCCTCGAAAGGAATCATTATCATGGTTATTAAGGACCCTTACTACCAGGTGGATGACTATCCCTAACCCCAAGTAAAGGAAGCAGTCTTTTGACCATAGCACCTAGAATGATTCCCCAGTCAATGCCAACAAACAATGGTTTGCCATGATTTCCAAAGTGCGAGATGGACTGGTCCATCCACAGTTGTCAAACCAACTGCCTTGCCGAGCGGCAGCAGCTCGAAGGCGCAGTTCACCCCCGAGATTCTCAGGCGCCTGCCTCGCGACGCATCGCGCGTGCGCTCGCCCACCTCACGGGTGGGTTTTCCGTGGGGTCCATGCGCAAAAAATGGGTTTGTCTCCAAAGCACACCGTCCCCACATCACCGTTCATTCAGATCGCAATGTCAAGCCCAACAGCCATCAGTGCCTTAAGAGCATTACTCATTGAGTGTGCCTCCAGGACTGCTGAAAAGCAAGGCATGAGAGAGACCTTCCGGTAGGTTCAGCGGGGGGCGAGGATAGGATAGGGGACAAAAAGCCTATCCCCCCCCCCCTACGGCGGAACTAATCAAGATTCTTACCTTTGAAAGTTCTGAGAACCATTCTGGGGGGAAGATAAGGAAACGAAGCATGGGATTCACCCCATGGGGAACGCCTCTAATTCGTTCGGTCGCAAAATCTCTTGTTTCGCGTCAAATGAGAGGCCTGGCTTCCCTCCAGAGTCACCCAAGTGCTAGGTGAAAGGAAAGCAACCCCTATGGAACTTTGGCCCTCGTCGTGTGGAAACAAAATCACACAAGGAATCTCCTGGGAAACTGCAGAAAAGACACCCCTTAGACCCCGATCAGCCGGGTTGATGTCAGCTGGGCCGCGCCTTCCACCAGAAAGTTCTTGGCGTGCGCGGTGTAGTCGTTGTACACTCCGGCCAAGATGACCTCGGATTGAACATACAGGCCTGTGCTTTGTTGCTGGGCCGCCGTTTTGGATGGTTGTGAGGGACCTTTTGAGACAAACCTTGGGCTTGTCTCAAATAGGGAATCCCCAAAATGGTTGGCTCCTTTATATAACTTACAACCCTCCAAAACAGGGGTCCAAACAAAAAGGACACACCCGTATGGAAAGGCCCCCATCCCCTCCATCTTGTCTGTTGCTCCTCACATCGTCTCTGTACCCCACAGAGAGACGACTTTAAACTGGCAAGCAACGAAAGCAGAAATGGAGCTGGGAGCCTGCGCGAATCAACAACTTGAATCTGGGGTTCCATGGCAGGCACTCGCAAACCCACCGACACGACCGGTTTAAACGGCCAGCTTCCGATTTCTGGGGATGTGAGCCACGGTCAAAACTCCCAATGGATATCGAACATAAGTGAGTACCCCAACTCCCGAAATGACCATTCACAGTTTGATAGAACCTCATGTGTGCGTGACAAAGACCAGCGGGAAACAGCACCTTGACACCCATTCCAAAGGGGGCCTTGAGCAAGCACCTAATGATATCACTGGTTGGTTAACTAGGTAATCTTTACCCCTGGTTCTTGTAGCTGCACATAATTAGGGCAAATTGGGCCGGTTCCTCCTTCGCTCCCCCAATGCAACGATGCGCACATTGAACAGGAGCTAGGTATGCCTAGGGAAACTCCGCAAATTCTCGATGTTTTTTGGGGAAGGAGGGTGCACGCAAAAATCCGAACTAAAAGCATCACCCCACCAAAAGAAGCCTCCAATGAGTGATGCTCAAATCCACCATTGACGGGGAATAGATCTGGAAAACTGAAAGGGGGCACCAATGATGTGGATCCCCATCGAGGTTTATCGGGGTCCGTGTCAAGTTGTCAAGTTGAGCCCAGCGTAAGCCTAAGACCTCATTACAATGGTTATCCCCACTGTGCCCCACGTCTTGACACATGATGGACCCGAAGGTTCTCCATCCGGACGAACATGCAACCACCAGACGGATGTAGCTCGCCGGGTCTGAGCTGGCAGAGTATCCAACCGACCTTTGAATGGGACCCGAAACCAGGCATCCAAAGAAACTCCGCCGGGTTTTGACTTTGGCAAAGGCGGGGAGGGGGACTGGATCCTACTGAAACCTCCCAGTTGGATTCCCGTGGCTGTAAAACCCCAAAATGGGGTACCCGTCGCCCCGAAGACAGCTACCTATTTTCAGCTAACCGGGTTGGCCCGCCTGCTTCAGCAGCACCGCCCCGATGAAGATAAAGGGGATCCTTCGGAGAATGCGGAGCTCCACTGTTGCCATTCTTGGCCCGCTAAAAAAAAGGTAAACGTAAAAGTTCAGACTTTCTAGCTCTGTTCCATATCTACCTACCATAACATACAATGTCTAGACAAGATATGTTTGGGGAGAGAGACCCCAGACTTGAGTTTCTCAAAATGGGGATTCAGATCCCTTCTGAATTGGTTAGAGGCAAAATAAAAATAAAAAAAACAATGGGGGATCGATTGAATGCATCGGCACAAGCTAATACAAAATTCGGAGAACCCTGGATACAACAAAGATAAGCATGCAAAAGAAGTTGGTGTCCTGCTTGTCAATTGGGAAGATTCCCGCAAAGGTGTGCCAGAGAACCGCTGGGTACCCCCATTGTTTGTCAGCAAAATCTGGCCTGGGAGTATCTTGAATCTTTAACCTTTCTACAGAATATTTCAAAGGAAACCAACTGGAAGCACCCATTTTGGGGGTTCCCCTAAAAAGAAAGACGCCACCTTGACCCATTGTTGCTTCCTTTTCTGTTGCACGTGGAAGGGACACCCCTCTGATCCGTTTGCTAGCTGACCATAGGCGCCGGTGTTGTTGTTTTTGGGGTCTCCGGTTTCAGGACACATCGAGTGCTGCCCTTGCTTGTTCTGCAGGGAAACTTGGGAATCACCAAATAAGCCAACCACTGGGTGGGAGGTTCATTCCCAAATTCCCAAGGAGCACGAGCTCGCGCGAGAAACCCCGTCCAAAGCAGCAAGTAGCTGCGGCTCGCGTCATAGCTCGGCACCTGAGGCGCGGGACCAGGGTCCATCAAAGAGACATTGTCAGAGTGACAATGAAAGTGACATGTAAATGGATGCCCACCGGCCACCGGGACCCAGAAGAAACTTTGAGAAGGCCCTCAAAATGTAACCGCTTGGACCCAGCGCCTTCCGCGAAGGGGACGTTCAGGGTTGGTTGGTAAATAAAGAGATCGAACTTGACAATGGGCCCGCGGCTCCCCGACACTTCTCGGGTCTCGGGCCTCGGGTCTCGGGTCTCGGGTCTCGGGGTCTCGGGTCTCGGGTCTCGGGGTCTCGGGTCTCGGGCCTCGGGGTCTCGGGTCTCGGGTCTCGGGGTCTCGGGTCTCGGGTCTCGGGGTCTCGGGTCTCGGGTCTCGGGTCTCGGGGTCTCGGGTCTCGGGTCTCGAGTCTTGAGTCTCGGGTCTCGGGCCTCGGGTCTCGGGCCTCGGGTCTCGGGTCTCGGGTCTCGGGTCTCGGGTCTCGGGTCTCGGGGTCTCGGGTCTCGGGTCTCGGGTCTCGGGGTCTCGGGTCTCGGGTCTCGGGTCTCGGGTCTCGGGTCTCGGGTCTCGGGTCTCGGGTCTCGGGGTCTCGGGCCTCGGGTCTCGGGTCTCGGGTCTCGGGGTCTCGGGTCTCGGGTCTCGGGCCTCGGGTCTCGGGCCTCGGGGTCTCGGGTCTCGGGTCTCGGGTCTCGGGGTCTCGGGTCTCGGGCCTCGGGGTCTCGGGTCTCGGGTCTCGGGGTCTCGGGTCTCGGGGTCTCGGGGTCTCGGGTCTCGAGTCTTGAGTCTCGGGGTCTCGGGCCTCGGGTCTCGGGCCTCGGGTCTCGGGTCTCGGGTCTCGGGTCTCGGGGTCTCGGGTCTCGGGTCTCGGGTCTCGGGGTCTCGGGTCTCGGGTCTCGGGTCTCGGGTCTCGGGTCTCGGGTCTCGGGTCTCGGGTCTCGGGGTCTCGGGTCTCGGGTCTCGAGTCTTGAGTCTCGGGTCTCGGGCCTCGGGTCTCGGGCCTCGGGTCTCGGGTCTCGGGTCTCGGGTCTCGGGTCTCGGGTCTCGGGGTCTCGGGTCTCGGGTCTCGGGTCTCGGGGTCTCGGGTCTCGGGGTCTCGGGTCTCGGGTCTCGAGTCTTGGGTCTCGGGTCTCGGGTCTCGGGTCTCGGGGTCTCGGGTCTCGGGTCTCGAGTCTTGGGTCTCGGGTCTCGGGTCTCGGGTCTCGGGCCTCGGGTCTCGGGCCTCGGGTCTCGGGTCTCGGGTCTCGGGTCTCGGGTCTCGGGTCTCGGGTCTCGGGTCTCGGGTCTCGGGTCTCGGGGTCTCGGGTCTCGGGTCTCGAGTCTTGAGTCTCGGGTCTCGGGTCTCGGGCCTCGGGTCTCGGGCCTCGGGTCTCGGGTCTCGGGTCTCGGGTCTCGGGTCTCGGGTCTCGGGGTCTCGGGTCTCGGGTCTCGGGTCTCGGGGTCTCGGGTCTCGGGTCTCGAGTCTTGGGTCTCGGGTCTCGGGTCTCGGGTCTCGGGCCTCGGGTCTCGGGTCTCGGGTCTCGGGTCTCGGGGTCTCGGGTCTCGGGTCTCGGGTCGGGGTCTCGGGTAGTGCTCGTTGTCAAGTGCGTTCTGTAAATAAAGCCGAGAGATTTGCAAGAGATCCCCAAGGGCCAATAGTCCAAATCTAGAACGTTTTGCCAACCCCTTACATAAGCGCCATAGTGAAAACCTCCGTACTTGTGCACAGTTGTTTATCAGCTTGTAACTTACCCACTTATGCTACACCTCCTGAGTCATTTGGGTGTGGCCTTCTTTTGAGGTACCTCTTTCTGCATGGTTTGCAAGGAAAACCAAAAGGACACCCAAAGCCATGTTGGGGGGGTCCGATTCCTAAAAAGGACGAGCCACCCATTTCACCAGGGCGATTCATGGGCCCGCGCCATGGAGTCCGGCAGCGTTGCAGTGTTCAGCGTTGTGAAGCACGTGTAAAGCGCGTTCCCGAACCTCAGGGTCTGGATGTTTTCTCGTGTGGTTCCTCAAGAAAACCCTTTTTGTTGAGGGGGAACAAGGAAAGCCAGAAACAAAAGAGGGAGGCTGTCTTTGTTGGAGGCTGGGTACCCTAATCAAATGGAAAATCCCCTATTTTAAGACACAACCAGTCGGTGGGGGTCGACGGTGGTAGTGCCGAGAGTCGGTTGCGCATTGCACTAGTGGAGTCGGATTAGAAAGGTAAGAGCGAATGAAACTCTGGGGTGATGAAGAGAAATGTCCACTAAAAACCGGGGAACCAGTACAAGCAAAAAGCCACAATGGAAGCGAGTTGAATGCGAGAAACTGAGCCGGAAAGTCAGAAAGCGTCCAGAAATAAGCGATTTGCCATGTCTGGAGACCTTTCTGGAGCTCAACGTTTCTCGGATAGAAAATAAGCTCACGTGATATCCCCAACAGCATGCGGTGCTCTTTCAGCGCTTGCGCCACCCCGCAGCCCTTGCAGAACCTCGTGGAACCCTGGTGGAACCCTGGTGGAACCCTGGTGGAACCCTGGTGGAACCCTGGTGGAACCCTCCCTGGTGGAACCCTTGTGGAACCCTTGTGGAACCTTACCTCAGGGCCGCCCCGGACCACCCCGGAGCCTATCTGGGCTGAGACCCCAAAGCTTTCAGCTGTTGGGGAAAAACAAATACGAAAAGGTCCGCCACAAACTGGTGATTCCCTGAGGTATCCAATCGGTTGCCCACCAATCTGAGATAAAACAGATAAGCAGGAGTAGGGGTACCAATGATACTAGGCTCCACTCGGATCCACGCGGGAAAATGGAAGGCTTTCTTAAGCAAGGGGCTGTGTGTTTGCGAGGCGAAGGGTACGCTTTTTGGGGTTGAGGTCTAAGCCAACGCGAAGCCTCCGACTTTGGGGGCTCCGATTCCCATGTTGAGACAAAACCCTTTCGAAACATGGATTTCAATGTATTGGCTGCCAATGCACCCGTTGCTTTGCTGTTTCGTGGGATGCCGCTGCACCCCTCCCAAAGGAACCAGCAGCTCTTTGTGGTCCAAGCCCAGATTTGCTGGGAAAGCAGCACCTTGCATACCCATGCCTGGCAACGGGATCCCGTAGCGAAATGTGGTTTTGAACATACGTGCTCCAACCAGTTGAAGAGCCACTTTTTGCAAGTGTTGAAGAAAGGAAAACCTCTAGCCACACCTTCCCCATTCTCTTCAGGGATCCTCAGAAAATAGGCCAACCTGGGAAAATGAATGGCTTCCAAAGGCAACGGTGGGTGAAGAGAAAAGAAAATCAACCCATTCTAAAACCCAGAAGAAACCGCGGCACAACCTCAGCGTTTCTCCGCGAACGAACCGAACCGAGGCCCGCGCGTCTCGAAACCCTGTCTGACAGGCGTGCCGAACTGGTCTTTGCCCTGGCAGGGCTATCGAAGACCACCCCTCTAGCAAAGGCTCCCCCCCCAAATCAAGGTCCATAGACAACGACACACACCTCAACCAAGCAAGCAAGCAAGCCAGCAACCAACCAACTAACCACTAACCAACCTATAGCCTACCTATAGCCTACCTCTAGCTCAGCCCCGGAACCCTCTGCAACTTTCCTGAAAGCTGTGAATCCCAGAGCTTCTGTGGCAGACCAAGCTTTGGGCTGCCGCTCATTTTGTGTTGCTCGCTCCTCCAAGCCAAGGACCCCAAAAACACAGAAGGTCCCAATGACAATAGCCAGGTCGCTTCACAAACCATTTGGGTGGCCCGTCATTTTTTAGGAATCTGACCCCAAAAATGGCTTTGGTTTCCCTCGGGCTTTCCTTTTAACACCACGCGAAAAGGGGGTACCCTCAAACAAATCACGCCCATTTGATCGGCGTTGTGTGGAGGGCACCCCCTTCCACACACAAAGCTTTTGTTCCCGGCCTCCTCATCGTCGAGGACGGTCGCTGAGACCCAGGCGAATAGAACCACGGTGTAGAGGAAGAAGAGGCCCACCTGACAAACGCGCGCTTCATAAGTGGATTGCCCAACAAAAGTCTAAACTTGTTCTTTGCCACTAGAATGGTCTTTCCCGGAAGTTTAGCGTCCAGAAAGTCAGACTCAGGGAGCGAACAAATCCGTCATGACTCAAAACATCCCCAGGGACACTCTCTCAAGATTACCCACAAGAAATGGGTGGGTTTTAAGGGAAACCCCACGTCCAGGTACCATGATAAAAGGCAAACCGCCTCAAATACACCCACCCGACGGCAAACTACACTGTGCCCGGGCAACTGGGCCTTGCTGACTGCCACAGTGGTGCGGCAAAAGGACAGCACCAGCACCTGCGCCGACGAAACCATCGATCGGTCGCGCCCATGATGCATGCGGTCTAGGACGCCCTAGTACCAAGGGTTCATGCTAAAAACATGTGCATGATGCGGATTTCTTTTGAGAGATGCACTGGCATCATCATTTGTACTATGTTTAGTAGCAGTAGTAGTCGCAGTAGTAGCAGTAGTAGTAGCAGTATATAGCAGTAGCAGTAGTAGTAGCAGTAGCAGTAGCAGTAGCAGTAGCAGTAGCAGTAGTAGTAGCAGTATGTAGCAGTAGCAGTAGCAGTAGCAGTAGCAGTAGCAGTAGCAGAAGCAGAAGCAGAAGCAAAGCAGCAGCAGCAGCAGTAGCAGTAGCAGTGGCAATAATAGTAGTAGTTGTGGTTGTAGTTGTAGTTGCAGTTGCAATAATAGTAGTAGTCGTAGTAGTAGCAGTAGTAGTAGTAGTAGTAGTAGTAGTAGTAGTAGTAGTCGTCGTCGTCGTACTAGTCGTAGTAGTAATAGTAGTAGTAGTAGTAGTAGTAGTAGTAGTAGCAGTAGTGGTGATAGTAGCAGCAGCAGCAGCAGCGGCAGCAGCAGCCGGAGGCGGAGGTGGAGGTGGAGGTGGAGGTGGAGGTGGAGGTGGTGGTGGTGGTGGAGGTGGTGGTGGTTGTGGTGGTGGTGGTCGTGGTGGTGGTGGTGGTGGTGGTGGTGTAGCTAGTGGTTCTAGTAGTGCATTAGTATTAATAGTATTATTGTTGTCACACCTCGTATTGCATGTTGCTGATGTTTGTTGTGTGTGTTGCTACAAGTTCACACAGTTGCCGATTATGCTTTTCGTGCGCATTGTGTTTTCCTTGGTCCACCCCAACCAAAGAAGGAAAGGGCTTGAACACGGAAGTAATCCTGGTGTTCTCGCTCAATCCAAAAATGAAGTACTCATGGAAGTAGTTGAAGTAGTCAGTCGTCTTGTTGCGTGTGACCTTTCATCCGAAAATGGGGCGATTTGTTGATGAAAGTAGTCTTGTGGTGTTCACGCCAGCCTTGAGAGGGGGGTGGGCCCGCCTCCCCCCCTCCGAAGCAACAGCATCACTGCCAAAAGAGCTCAGGTAAAAGATTCCAGGATTGCAATGTGTGAGCAGTGCAGCCAAGCTTTATGGGGTCAGAGGACATTTTGGGCGGGCAACGCCTGCCCAGCATTTTGAATTGCTGGTGCAACAATAGTAAGGCGCATGCCAGGGTGGATCCACAGATTCGCCACATCCAAACCGTGTACCTTAAAATCCATTAAAAAATATATCAGGCATGTTTGAGTCGAGAACTCGCCTGCAGGCGCTGAACGGAGCAGGCCGCCAGGCCGAACCTCCGAAGGCCAAGTTCTCGAGGCCAATTTCTTGTCATCGACCGGCCAACTTACCCCAAGTGAACATACCACACCTGTCTTTATATAGGGATGGTGTTTGGGGTATGTATTATTTTATCTATTTCCGGGGTATGTATACTCATTCTCCGATTAGGTGGGTTCGCTCTAAAGGGAAACCAGAAGGAAAGCCACATGTGTGCTTTCTTTTTTCGGGGGCCCTAAAACAGACAGACAATAGAGGACCCCCGCCCCCCTTCTCACCATGTTGCAAGGAAACCAAAATGAAGCCAACCATCCTAGGGGTTTCCTATTTTGAGGCATACCCATAGTTCGCTCTAAGTGAGTTTCAGCCCCCGTGTTGGGTTGGTACTTCATCGGAAACCAAAAGGAAACCTTTGCTAGTAAAACTATTCTGAGAAACCGACATATATGAATCACGGTCAAACTCATGTGACTAAATTGGCCAAGACGTCTAAGCTGTTGAGTTCCCACTTCAATCATTGGCCTTCCTGGAAAGTCTGAGGTCAATAGGCGTTGGCCCAAAACGGAGAGCTGTTTGGGGTGTCACATTTGCTCCAAATACCCAGCAAGGTATAGCTACTGTGGATGGATACAAGGCTGCACCACTTTGAAACCATGGGATCCGTTGTTTGTTGGTATTTCAGGGGGATTCATCGTTCTGGAGTTTCTTAGGTGGTGCAGGATGTTGTCCAGTGTCAATGGTGCAAGCCAAGAAAAGTCCCGTGGTTGAGCGGCATCCTTAGGCAAAGTCGCCCCTACTGGGAGTGGTGCATAAAGCAAGGGAAGTGAGGGAGTGTCCTTGTAACCTTGAGGTCAATTCAACTAAAAACAAATCAGCACCTGGCAATTCACCTATGAGAATCCCCCGCTGATAAGGCAAAGTATCGCCGCTTTGCCCTGATTGGGGCTCCCGACATGTCCCTTACGGAGTAGGGAGCTCGCACGGATAAAAATAAAATAAAAACAAATATCAATATTATCAAATAACTTCTTTAAATTGAATAAACGTGTCCAAATATACACATAAAATTGTCAAATGAACTAATACTATGATTTTTATTTATTTGTTGACTTAATAAGCTTAACATACGAAACACTAATTTCATATTATTAAGTTTGAATGAAACTTTTTAGAGATTGGAAAAAACAATGTTTTATGTTTAGAAAGATCTTGAACTTCCTCAAACATTTATTAATATCACATGAAGATACATACGAAAAAAGGGGGAAAAACAAATATACAATATGTAAAGATGTTATTGCAAATGAATCTTGGATATCGGGCTTTTCGAAAGGATGAACGTCGACTTGCACGTAAGAAGTGCAGGATTAGCTTGACTCCTGCCCATGCGCCACGGCAAAAGCAGATGGCGCAATTCCCCTTGTAGATACAGTAAGTACAGGGCATGACTAAATCGAAATGGGTTGGAATTGTGCCATCCACGTTCCCCCAACTGTACCGAAATTCCGGCCTGAGGAACGGCGCTATGCGGTACGCAGAGCCAGCCAGGTAAACGAGCAAGTCCTGAGCGAGCTGCGAGTCTTGTCGATCCGGCATTCGCTAGCCACCGGCTCAAGTAGTGAAGAAGAAGCACCCTTTTTGGATTACAACGGTGGACAAATAACCCTGGGATTGCAGGAATGCTATATTTGGGACTTGAGGGAATAGTGCATGTTAGTTTAGAGGAAGAGCATATGTTGATTTGTTGGAATACGGGAAAATAAGGTGAAGGTACAGTTTTGGGCTCATGTCGTTCTATTTCCCAAACGTTGCATTTCAGGGGAAAGAAGGTTTCGACATCCGTGTGAAACAGGGGTGCTCATACTTTCCGCCTCAACGTTGCCCTCAGAATGGTGGCTTCCCTTTGGTCTGAAAAGGAGAAACGACCCTTGTGAGGGGGGCGTCTTGCTGTTCCCTTCATGAGTGCCTGGGTGTCTGAGAGAAGGCAAAGACTTTGCAACAGGTCCAGGGCTTGCGACCCAAGCCCCTAAGAATCCGTTGCGGCTAAGCAAGCCATTTGAGATAGCGGATGTTCATTCTGCCCCTCAAGGCACTCCCCTGTACACATGGAACCCCGCAATCACACTTGAGGAATCTCCTTTTAGGGGAACCTCTTGTGTTGGCGTTTTTTGGGGTTCCATGTTGATCAGGGGAGTAACCATCCACACCATTTCCCGATGACTCAGCGGTGCCATCCAACAAACGGGTTCCTTTCGGACGCTGCACACACACACACACACAATAGTCCTTTCGTGCAAGCGATCGGAACTCGATTCATGTCGACCGCGGATTAATCAACCTTGCGGATACAAGAGGGCGGGGGGGTTCCCTCAAACGCAATATTCAAGGGAAAACCCCTGTTCATCAAGCAGGCGTGGATTCATCAACTGGGTTCCCCGTAGAATCTGCCAAACGGGTCAAGACCATGTTCCCTCTAATTTTTGGGAGGGCAAATGATTCCTCCCATGGCACCAGAGGCAAGGGGAAATGATTTTGGAGGGCTCCCAAAGAACAAACACAAATCGACTTCAATTCAGGGTTTGGATTTCCCAAGTGCCACTTGAGGTCCAAACAGCTCACTTCCCGAGTGGATACCCCGAAAAAGAAACCAAACCTTTTATCAAGTGGTTCCAGGAAGTATGAAGTCCGAAACGGAACTCAGCACCCCGTAATTGTTTCTCGGCCCATTTGTGTGTGTCTGTGTGTCTTTTTGGGGGCACCCCTTTCTTGTTTGTGTGTGTGTTTTTGTATTACAGTAGTATTGTTTAAGCAACCAAAAAGGAAACCCGAAATTTATTGTTGGGGGGTCCAACCCAAAACGAGACGAGCCACCCATTGAGTTTCTCTAAGTCAACGCGTCCGTCTTGTTTTCTGCAAAGCGGTCTCGCTTGGGTCGGATTGCCATCTCAGGCGCACACCGTCACGCTCAGCATCAGCAAGCAGCCCTCCAGGACCAAGGCTCCTCTGGAAACCCATCCATGGGTCGAACAACGGGCACCCGGCTTTCGGAAGGAATTGTTTTCAGAAGGGTACCCTGTGCGGGGCAGTTGACAAAAGGGCGCCGCAAGTTGTGGCAGTTGATTTGAAAGGGGACCCCCTCAAACCAAGTTGAAAAAAGAGGCTCCACTGGAGGTCTCCCTAATTTTGAGCCATCCAAAAGCGCACATGGTGTGCCCCAAAATGGGAGGCCAACCTTCACTTCAACACCTTCCTCTTAATCCGAAGAGGTGATTTCGGGGACATGAGTGAAGTTGTGGAGGGTGGCCTTGTAACCCTCTGCAAAGCAAAGCAGCAAAGAATATCAGAAGCTCTGGACCAACAATAATTTTGCCACGGTCTGTGGGCGCGAGGTGCGACACCAGGCGTGCACGCTAACTTGGATTTGCTGCGTCCTCCGGTGGTTGCGTGACCTGAGACAAGGGCTGGGCCCAGAGTGACATCCCCCAAATTCCCCTCTACATGGTGAGTTTCAAGGGGTCCCAGCCCAGAAGCAAGTTTCAGCGCCTTTTAACATGTAATTACCCACCTCACATCCTCCTCTCGAGGTCTTGAACCCGAGGCCTGGACACTTGAAGGAAACCAACCAGTCTTGTGGTTCCCTATTTTGGCAAACACGCAATTCAACAGGAAAACGTCTTGCGGTATCAGGCTTTGATGGTCGTCTTGTGCTGCTACTTTTGTTCATTCAACCGGACGATCCTCAACTCGCTCGAAGTCAAACTTTTATCCAACCCTGGCTCCAGTGCCGAGCTACGGACCATGACCCTTCATCGCATAGTACAATCGCACATGCGACCTCACGGCCCGGGTACTGTGCCGAGCACTTTGCAGGAAAAGAGAGCTTGACAACCATCAGCCTAGAAGGACTCGATTCTGATGATCAGTTGACATCTTGGCTAAACATAGACCAAAATGGGAGGGCCAAACATAGAAAGGCCAATTTTGGGCCAACGGTTCTCATGCCCTATTGCGGACGGGAATCCACAATGTTCTGGGAATTGCCTGCAACCTGCAACCGCTTCTGCCATTCTCTGGAAGGAATTCCTTCCGACCACGTCCCAAGCGGAGGTTCCTTCTCTTGTGAAGTTTCACAACCTTGTGGAAACATAGATGGCGCTGGCAAATGGAATAAAACCTATCTAAACCAGTGCCATCTATGTCAACCTCAACTAAACTAATTCAAAAGGAGACCTTTGTCACAAACCCTCGCTTTTCAGTCATGGCCTTCGGGCAGTATGCCGAAGCCCGGCTCCGGGAATAACCGTGAGGCATCCACGCGAAGTGGATGATCAGGATCAAGAAGATGAACAGCTCCAACGCCACCTCTGAGATATGGACGTACTCAACCAGAAAACCCTTTCAAGAACCCCATCCCCCAACCAGTCTGTTTGGCCCCCTTCTTGGTCAACTTTCAACCCTAGGAATAGAATATGGTGGCTTCCCAACTTTGGAGAAGGCAAAAATGGAACATGCTAACAAATGTTGATGCAAATGCACCTGGTTGTTTGAATCCGAAAAAAAGAAGTTGAAGACAGCAGCGTCCCACAGCTGCACGCTCATCTCACTGTCAAGTGGAGATCCGTTCTTGAAGGTATGTGCTGCTTTAGCCTCCAGTGTGATTTGATGCCTTTTCATATTGGCATACCTAGAGAAAGTCCCCACTACAAAGCAATATTAAGTGTATATTTAGTTTCCATTAGTTTACCCCCATAAATATGCAGGAGACCCCGAATACATTTCTCCGACATCAGCTGGAATTCTGCCGCCGGCACCGCAGCGCTGATGGGCACTACGGGGACGTTGCTCAGGATGTACTCGCTGCTAGTAGCAGCGGCGCAACCTGAAGAATCCGGCTGCCCTTAGCATAGAGAAAGTTGGGATACCCTCCCACCAATTTGACATGAACCTGATGTTCGGGGTCCTAGTTTGGACCATTTTCCTTTTAAAGGGACCCGGAACGTCATGTTCCATATTAATTGGTGGGAGGGTACCCGCCTAAAACCAGTGGACTACCTGGTGGACATCACAAAATGGGGGAGTTGTGCCTCCAACCCCTTTTTAAAGGCTCCCCAGCAGAATCGAACGCTGCATGAAGGGAATTCCGCGATCTTTCGCACTGATGCCCAGAGCTCGCGTCCAGCGATCTGGTATTGGAATGTCACCCAAAGGGCCCAAAATCGCAGAGTGAAGCGTGTTCATGGATACCCCGTTTTTTGCAGCCACCTGAGCGGTTGCAAAATCACCCAAGATTTGTTATACAAATATGGGTCTGTCTTTTTTGGAGGGTCCCTGTTTTGGTGCTTTAAAGGGAACAACAAGACAAACCAGTGTCATGCCCAGACAGATTTTATCATTTAGTTCCCTTGGTATCGCGGAAAATGGCTCAACCACCATGGCTTTGGTCAAGTCAATTCGGAGAGCCTAACCAAGCAGCAAAGGGTCAAATGCCGAGATTGAAAACAAACGGTATCGAAGGCCCGAAATGCCGAGATTTAATCAAGCCCAGGTCCGGGAGGAGTAAACCCACTGTGCTTCGGGGTGCACAGCGATTCATGGTAAAGCCCCCAACTTACCCAGATCCAACCCCCACAGAGCACGTCAAACTCGTCCCAGGCTTTAGCCCACGCGCCAGTTTGAACGTCAGCGTCACATGCATTGGGGCTCTGGCTGCGCGCCTCTTCAACAATTCTCAGATTGATGTTGCCAACTGCGCTAAAACCTGTCCCCTGTGTGTTTGTGGGGATTTGCGTGAATTTAGCAAGTCTCCCATGTCCCCCTCAAATGGATCATAGACTGCTGGCCGTTTTGACCGAACCTCCTGTGAAGGAAACCAGAGAACGCATAAGCACTTGTGGGGGACCATGCGCTTCCATTACACCCAGGTTTTGCCTGCACCTGCATAACCAAGAACCAAGGGAAAGCCCCCCTATTAATACGCGACGTGGCCGCATTGGTGCTTGGGCGCCCTGTCGCCAAGCACGCGCAAGCGCGCCCACTCAAGTGCACCAGCTCCGCACCGCACGCACGCCTACAAAATTCTAAGCACACCCGGAGCACTGCACACGCGCCTCCTAAATGGTAAGCGTGCCCGCTCAAGCGCGCCCGCTCCGCGCTGCACACACACACACACACTGCCTAATGTTGGACCTCCTTTATTATTGGTACTCGGTATTGTAGATTTTTTTTCCTAATTCAGAATCCTGTGACTGTTTTAACGATTCGCTATTGTGGCAAGTTTTTTTGCCCCCCCCCAGAAAAATCTTAAAAAACGCATAGCTTTTTTCTTCGCTTTCTGGATTTGCTCGGGCTCAGGCTAAACTTGCTAAGCCTTGGTAGCTCCTGTTCAGCTGGAGGCGGGTTCTGAGCTAGCTAGAATTTGGAATTTGTTTTCTTGAAGTGGTCCCCAAACCATCAAATTTAAGATAACTTCTTTACAAAAAAGTGCGGGCAAACAGTCACACAAAGGGGGGTGCCCACAGGAGGCCCAGATCCTCTTTAATGCGATTGTTTTGGGGTTCTCTTTAGTGTCCAGTGCTTTCGGGGTTGCTGAAAACTGAAAACCAAAGCCTCAGCCTTTTACTTTTAAAGAAGGGGACTCATCCTAAGCTCTCCCCAGCTCAAAGGTTAAAGGCCTGAGATCTAGGAAATCGATTTTGCAAGTTGTTCCCAACCATCAAATTTAAGATAACTTCTTTACACAAAAGTGCGGGCAAACAGTCACACAAAGGGGGGTGCCCACAAGAGGCCCAGATCCTCTTTAATGCGACTGTTTTGGGGTCCTCTTTAGTGTCCAACTGGTTTCGGGGGTTGCTGAAAAAACGACCCTTGGCAATACTAAAGTAGAATTGGCAATACTTAAGTAAGTACTGGGGATCTGAGAGTCAGCCTTGGCAATACTAAAGTAGAATTGGCAATACTAAAGTAAGTACTGGGGATCTGAGAGTCAGCCTTGGCAATACTAAAGTAGAATTGGCAATACTAAAGTAAGTACCGGGGATCTGAGAGTCAGCCTTGGCAATACTAAAGTAGAATTGGCAATACTAAAGTAAGTACTGTCCCTCCCAGATCCCCCAGGATCTCCCTAAAGAGAGTCCAGCCGACTGGTTCCACTGTTCCAGGGGGGGGGGGGGGGGGATCACACTAAACAGAGTCCAACATTAAGCGCGCCCGATTAAGCACATGCGCTTCGCGGTGTACACACGCCCGCCGAATGGTGAGCACACCCGCGCAAGTCCACCCGCTCAGCACTGTAGGCACGCCTGCCGAAAATGGTGGACACACCCACGGAAGTGCGCCATCGCAGCACTGCAAACACGCCTGCACCCGCACTGCGCTGCACACACGCCTGCCAAAAGGCAACACTCAGCACAGCACAGTCTGCTGCGCCAGGAGCTATTGTTGAGACTGCATCAATCAAACAGTGGCTGAACCCTCTGGTTCACAAAATGCGCCTTCGATGCGCTCAGATTTTATGTCAAACGCTGTAGAGTTTCGGTTCCATGTGTAGAATTCACTGACAGGCGCAGTGAATTTGACATTTTTAGCGAGCGTGTCGTAAGTTGAAGTCACAACAATGTAACTGATCCAACAATGGAACTCCTGGGATTTTGTCTAGAATACATCCCGCAAATGGAGATCTGAAAGAAGAATGAGCATGCAGACTGGCCCTGCCAGTCATTTCATCACATAAAGTGGAAGAGATTGCGACTTGGAAATCGGGCGTCTCTAGCGCGTAATAGGACGGGTTTAATCTGCTGGATCTCATCTGAATGGTGGACCCCGAACCCAAGGTTAGGCTTCGCCCACTGTGCGGCTCCTGCCTCGCTGGCCATGAAAGGGACGGTTCCCACACCTAAGCGTGGTAAACAATCGGTTGGAGTGGGTTTGGGGTGGGTTTGGTGGGAGGGATTGTCTACGGTGGTTTCAGGTGGGTCGGTCTCCAACCAGGTTGGCCAAGTGGGTGCAGGGAGGGTGCCGGGAGGGCCTTTCTTGGCCATCATTTGATACCACAAAGCATGAGCTTGCTCAACGTGAACACCCCCAAGTCTTCCCTTTGGTTTCATGTTAGAGTCTACCCTAGAAACGGTTTGGAGACCCAACTTATCGCTCCCAAAACTCGTCTCCGGTCCCTTTGCCGCTTCTCACTGCTCGAGGAAGCCGCCAGTTTGAGGTGGTACTAAGCCGATCTTGGCTCAAAACTTTTCTGTGGCCCTGTGTCATGTGTCCGAGCTCCCTTTCCGGATGCCCTCGCTGTACATGTACACGCATCAGCACAGTGCGAGTGTTCAGTGTTCAAGGGATATGTGTCAACATGTTCCTTTTGGTGTCCCTTAAAACCAACCTGTAGCCTCAAGAACACGCATATCCGAAGATTCCTTGAGGTTTGCCCTTTGAAGAAGGACCAAAAAGGTTTGGTCCCATCCCAGTTTGGACATTCCCACATGTGCCAATTCAATTGTTGCTGTTGCAACCCTATTGGACACGGGACATTGTGTCAGCTCCCTGGCTTTGGGCTTGAAATCTACAATTCGTGCCCAGAACCCCCCGTTCCCGAGCCCAAATGGACCATAGACTCCCGCAGATTTAACGACCGAACCGAACCTGTCGAGGCCCACACCAGAGTGGCGTCTCAAAAATGTCCAACAGCAGCAGCGTCCAAAGCGCAGGCACCGCCCACTTCTCCATCCTCACGTCGTGAAGGTAGGCACTATCACTGGACATCACGACAGCAAACAAACACGCAAGTAAACAAACACACAACGAGAAAACACAAACCCGTCAGAAACATTCCAACGGCGAACCAATCGTCTGTCAAAGGGCCAGGCTTGGGCTGTTGGAACACGTTCAAACACCGCGTGCGTCGCAAGGAGCCAAACCATTCTTTGGATCTGCTTTTGATTCACACCTGTTTCACCCACCTCCCGCCCCATGCATGGGGCTCTTGACCCACGCAAGAAACTGAAATGTGACCCAAACGTCTTCTTTGCGCTTTTGGACATTAAAAAAAAAACTGATCAAACGGACCACGTCCTTCGCGGGTTTTTCGGTTCCCACCACCAAAAGACCAAACCTCCCGTCTTCGAAGCCCGCCGGAAGCGTCCGCCTGGTTTTCGTCTTGTAGGCGAACCAGGCGTTGGGGTTCTCCGGCGGCTTGTGGAAGCCTTGGAGCTGCATCGCCTGAAGCGTGCACAGCGTGCACCGCATCGATGCGCCCAGTTCGGGGGGAAAATCCCGGCGTTTTTTGTTGTTTTTTCCTTCTTCTTTTTTTCGGGGGGCTGGCAAGGAGGATGTGTGTCTTCACCCACCAAAAATGTTGTGTTGGTTTTTGGGGGTTGGGGGGGGGGGGGAGAAATTGAAAACATTTTGGATTTTGGAACGCAGTGAATTGTCATTTGGGGTCGTCTCGGCGAATTTCCTGGATCAGGTTTGTCAAGGGCCCAATTGCTGAAACCCACAAAAAGGGTCCTATGATGCATCCAAAATACGGCCTTACTGGGCCTACGGATCCCTGTGTGGTGTGTCTGTGTGTGTGTGCTTGTGCGGCTGAGTGCGCATCGCTGTGTGTGTTTGTGGGTCTCTGTGTGTGTGTGGAGTGTGTGTGTGTGTGTGTGTGTGTGTGTGTGTGTGTGTGTGTGTGTGTGTGTGTGTGTGTGTGTGTGTGTGTGTGTGTGTGTGTGTGTGTGTGTGTGTGTGTGTGTGTGTGTGTGTGTGTGTGTGTGTGTGTGTGTGTGTGTGTGT